CAATTCTACATTTGAACGTGTAATCAACCCCCTTTTATACCTAGATTTTCGAAACTTAAAACCAAAATTTAACTACACCCTGTCACAAATATGTAGATTAAAACTATTGGCTTAGAACAAAATCGACAAAATCACCTGTCAAGCTTAATGGCGGAGGTCATTGTCCCTTAATACAGGTATAGCTACACTTGGCGTGAACTCAATGTAACCTCTACACACCTGCCTATAAAGCGAAATATCTTCCCCCACCCCCCTACCCTCCAATAAACAATTCGTGGACCCCATACCCTCGTTACAAAAGTCAAACACGATCAAAGAATATAACACCTGCATACCTTTTTTATTATTCATAACCTCATTGTTCAGTCAACAATAACCATATTCAACCTATAAATAGAACACCTGTGGAATGCTCTGACGTCAGACCTTAGGAATGTGTGACGTCAGACCTTTGGAATGTCTGGAATTCCAAAATTGCTCCAGACTACCCTCTCTACTACTCCCTATACCTAAATGGATCTGTTGGATTGCATAGGACAGTCAATATGAAAACGTAAACAATATGTGTATATTTTATTCTCACATGTTTAACCCTTGTGCGGATACAAGGTGTATTTCGTGACCCAACGACCATATCCATAACATTTATGGGTAACATTAGATCATAATTGTCTAGCGAGAATTTTATACATTGTCAGCTATACTTAAACATGCATTATGCAAGAGCAAAATCGGCTTATTACAAGTCTTTCTTTAGGCCTGAAATGTTATGTAAATTATCAATTAGACATTAATTAACTTATCCAGACCATAATAAACTCGCGATGTCAAGGCTAGCCTTCGATGTTGGCTGGATTAGATTCCTATATGCCGCTAACGGCCATTGATAATTAAATTTTAAAAAGTGGATAATCGCGACTATGCTGTTTATATTAATGATTTTAGTAATGATGACCGAGACTATGCAAAAATTTCACCCGCTTCTTTCTCGGCTCATAGTGGATCAATTTGACTGAAATTTTCAGCAAATTACCTTTACACTATCTAGTTTTTAACTATTATAGAGAGAACTGCCATCTCTTTATCTTATCTCCCATAATGTATCTTTAAACATGCATTATGCAAGAGCAAAATCTGCTTATTACAAGACTTTCTTTAGGCCTGAAATGTTATCTAAATTATCAATTAAACATTAATTAACTCATTCAGACCATAATAAACTCTCGATGTCAAGGCTAGCCTTCGATGTTGGCTGGGTTAGATTTCTATATGCCGCTAACGGCTATTGATAATTAAATCAATAAAAGTGGATAATCGAGACTGTGCTGTTTATATTAATGATTTTAGTAATGATGACCGAGACTATGCAAAAATTTCACCCGCTTCTTTCTCGGCTCATAGTGGATCAGTTTGACTGAAATTTTCAGCAAATTACCTTTACACTATCTAGTTTTTAACTATTATAGCGAGAACTGCCATCTCTTTATCTTATCACCCATAATGTATCTTTAATAACGTAAGGTCGGGTGTAATGCATACTCCTCGAGTATGTGTGTAATGCTGCAAATAGAAGATTCACCATTTGACAAGAAACTAAAAGTATTACATTATCGGAGACATAAAATTATACATACAAATACCTATTTATGTCTGTTGTCTTAGATTACCCCTAGTGCCGAGAAGGTTTTTCGTGCGACGTGTTTGCACAAAGGCTAATGTAGTTTGAATGCTTTAAGCACTCAAAATTACCGGAAGATTGCGTTGTGTTGCAATCCGTGCAGGGAAAACAGCGAATTTTAAATGGTCATAGCTTTAATCAAAATTGTTATATATTAATAATTTATGAACCAGAATGATTTTGGTATCCAGGATTATGCTAATTTTGATTGTATATGATATTAAAATCTAAATGGGAATATGTTCTAATACAGTGGGGCAAATTTAAACCAATATATTACTAATCTATTGGATACTGTTACTGTACTATATTCGTCACAAGATTAAGTGAAGAATTAGAGTAACTATAGCGACAGACAAGTGGATTCACCTATATATTTTTCAAACACAATACTTCGATCTTTTTATTTTATTTGATTGAGTATTTGCTATAGAATTTGATATTTTATGAAGTATGGCGAAAGGGTGAAATTGTTTTATAGCTTTTATTAACCTCTCCATAACCGCGTATGATTTATTTTACACTATGCTGTAACGCGTTTAGTTTGATATAATGCTTAATTAAATAATAAACGTATCTGTACACGCTATCAGTTAACTTTATACCACGACTTATACATCAATAATCAATTATTATTAATCAACGTACTGACTATACATATACAACACAATATTTCTACGGTGTCTAAATTGTTCTTTAACACCCGCTACTGCCAATAATGAATCAATATATATCGAACTGACATTGGGTAAAATTGGTATAATTATGAATTTCTGTCGACTTTTATGTAAAAACAAAACAAAGACAAATCTTACACTATTTTGATAAGTCACAGATCAAGCCTATATTTTCTAATAAAATAGCCCCAACGCCTGCCTAATAATTATGAATGGTGCATGTAAATTAAAGTTTATTCTATCGCAATTATAATGTTAGGTTGTAAAGTAGATAGTTTCCTTTTTTGGACGAGGGCATCGTTTTCCCACCTTTACAGCTTTACATTTTATTCTGCACAAATAAAGCACCTGTATTGCCGAGTGGGAAAATGCGAATGACATCTGATCTTTAGTTGTAAAGGCCCTACGTCCAAAATACTGAGCATTCACGTATGTCATAAATTTCATGGACTGAATAGCAAGGCGGAACAGTTTGAGAAAATGTACCCCGAACTACACCAATCCCCAAAATACTTGTCGGCAGTCTCCATAGTCGGAATTCTGTAAGAACTAAATATCCAGTAATTCACTATATTCCGACAATCCGGTGGTCAATATTGTCAGGCCTCATAAAGTGAACAGATTTCACAAATATAACAACGAATGAATATTGATATTATGAATAGGCCTATGTATGGATTGGAAATGAAATGTTGTTTTATGGCACGTCAGCTCCAATCGGGCTATATTGCGCCAAGTTTGAGACCTACGGTCAGAGCTGAACTAGGATTGATCAAGGCATCGATCAGCTGGGCATGAAATGTTACTGTTGGATATTTTGGCCCTTGGGTAACACTATAATGTATACCATCGCCAAATCTGAAATGGTCAAGGGACACAACTCTTGCTTATGCCGGAGTTTGTCCCGTCGCCACATTCGAGGGACTTGGTTCTGAGGTGTCGGGGCACCTTAATCTATAGGAGAAAGTTTAAACATTTTAACACTATATTTTCGGCTCCATTCTATGGTTTTTAACTCCTACAACAGCGAGGAAGTGACACCTTCTTGGACACTTTACGACATTAATAAATGTTAGACATCTATAAACCATGATGCCTGTTTTCAACCAAATTTGTTAATAGTAGGCTACTATAGGCACGTTGATTGGGTGGCGATTGTTTAGATATTTTCACAGGTATATGGATTGGGTGGCGATTGTTTAGATATTTTCACAGGTATATGGATTGGGTGGCGATTGTTTAGATATTTTCACAGGTATATGGGAGCAGGAACGCCCTATATTTCTTCATATTTAAAAAAAAAAAAAAATAAAATCCGAACATGTGTGATAGCAAATATTATATGATTTAGCACCAAAAAGTAAGAGATCAAGAATTTAAAAAAAATATATATATGTGAAGAATAAAACAGAAAATCTTTTTTTTAAAATAATCACGTTCCAGTGTGTTTGTGGAAATAAGGTTGATAGCGATCCGATGGGGTCCAAACGGGAGGATGGGGAAAAGGAGCACCTACATATAGCAAATTTAGGCAATTTTGCACCCGTTTCCGCCTGTATATCCGACCTTGCATGTAAGAGATTTCTTAGAGACACCATTATTAAAGGATCAATCTCGATTATATTTTGGACCGAGCAACTAACTCAGATGGGTGATACGTTTTCAAACAACTTAAACCCGTCTGTCTTCATCTGGAAATGGAGAGCGGTGTCCCAAGCTGTGTTTTACGGTGTCTGGATAAAACTTTTATTTTATAAAAATAACGTGTAGGCCTACCGTAGTTGAAATGTACCTTTCGCTATCAAGTGCAGCACGTGGGCCAAGGTGTATAGAACTGTAAAGGAACGGCAATAGATTATCAGGTCACCCAACCTAACGAAGACGGGCGAAATCTTAAAAGGGTGTCCAGACTAGCGGTTTTGACGTTCATCTCCAAACGACTCAATATTTTGATCTGAAATTTTGAGACAAGGTAAATATACCTTTCCTTTTATTTCTGAGACTATGTTAAAATCGGGATGGCCCCTTTAATATTTTAGGATTTAGGGCCTACCGGTAAGCCCAATTTAATTTGCTTGTTGCTTTGCCAACTTTATCTTAATTCATTTGATCATAGAACTAAGAGTTCTATTCTAATTAAACCATAGATCTAGGAATACTAGTATTTTAGTTCTGTTTTATACGGCTAAGGGCATTATATTTTTCTTCTAAAGCCAACGTTATTTCGGCCTAAAATATTATTTTTCCTCTTGTACGGGACCCGACCGGATCCGCCGTAGCCTATAAATTATTCTTAATTTATAGAATATATAGTTTCATCTTTTAGTTATGCGCTCGACAATCACATTATAATATTTAGATGATAAAATTACGCCACTAACTTAAGAGTAAGAATCAATTTATTGACATATCTACTTTCGGTTTAGCTCGTTTAATCACAAAACATTTATTATGACAAATAATTACTGAAGTATTTACACGTTTATATATTTCTATTTCAAGAAAACAGGAAAGTAAAATGTGTATATTTAACTATTTTATTAAATCTAAACAATTTATTCTCTAAAATATCCAAATCTAGTCCATTCACGATCATTTTTTTTTAAATCGCACGATTAGAAAATCCAAAACAGGAAATCAAACTTATCACGTGACAAGTATGGCGGACAGCGATGAAGATAGTTATAATTCACCCTCCCCTTCAGAAAAACATGTAGAAGCACAGGGGCCTCGAGTGGTCACAATTTATAAAACAGAGACTGGTTTTGGATTTAATGTAAGAGGACAAATAAGTGAAGGAGGAGTGCTTAAATCAATTAATGGTGTGTTATACGCTCCCCTTCAACATGTTAGTGCTGTTCTGGAAGGCGGCGCAGCTCAGAGAGCTGGTATTCGGAAAGGAGACAGAATTTTGGAAGTGTAAGTTTATGTCGCATGGATAGGAATAGAAATGAATTAAACTTTCATGTTTAACAATTTGGATATATCAGTTTGGATTGATTTGTGTTAGATCATGTTGTAGAGTTGGACTAAATGTAAAATCAAAACAAAGCCATCTGACCAACTGTCAACATTCATTACTCATTGATCGAATACTGATCTGAGCATACAAATAAAACAGCATACTGTTAAGTCTTACCCAATTATTAGGAGGGCTTGACTGTAGGGACTCTTCCATAAGGAATTTAGTCTGCATACAAATGTATTCATCATTGAAGCTGTATCTGATGATATGTTGTCATTACACATAGATTCAATAACAATCTTGTTATTTAATGTGCATTCCCAGGGTGGTTGGCTAGTGACAGTAACCTGTAGTTCACTAGTTGCATGCGAGCTATAGCTCATACCATGGCATTAAGACATTGCACACTAAATATAAGTCTTATGAAGAAGGTTTCTAACCCTACTGTGGATTTTGCACACCAAATTAATTAGTGAGAGGGAATATACCATATTGGTTTTCAGTTCAGTGCACACCGATCAGGTTTAATTACGGTTGAGAGTTTCGGATCAATTCGTTTTGTATACATTTAAACAGGGTGAAGTAATTTGACTTAAATTTTCAGCAAATTCTCTTTTCATTATCTATTTTTTAAGTATTATAGCCAGCTCTTTATCTAATCTTACCTAATCCCGCTTTAATTAAGTCTGAAAATTAGGATGAAAAGCCATTGCAGAAATCAGTTAAAAGATGGTACCACTTTCATTTATGCTTGCTTGCACTGTACCAGAAAGAGAGAGAGAGAGAGGGGGGGTTTAACATCCACTCGACGCAAACTAGGTCATTTTGGGACTAACACATGGTTCAATTTTATTTAAACAATTCACTTGCACGTAGGGGTCTTTAGCAGTGGAAGGAAACCGGAGGACCTGGAGAAAACCCATGAGGTTGGACATGCAACCCTACACCTTGCCACATACAACCGCACTGTACCAGACATTTTTGCACCCATTTTATTGTATTACTTGAGTTGAAATAAGGACTTCATTTGCTGTAGTCTTGGAGTTTAATACTATAAAAAGAAAATATATTTGTATCTGTTATTTTGTATTAAAAAATATAATATTGGTTGATTTCTGAATGACTAAAGGTTTTTTGATGTGACTGATAACCAGGCATTTACATGTATACTAGAAATAGATGAAGTTATTTCTTTGAAAACTAAAATTGATGAAGCTTACTCTCAATCTACATGTATAAAACGTCCTCTATCTGTATTCATTGATTTCTGTTGTTAAATCATAAATAAGGGAAGGAACTGGCCAACTGGGTAGAATATAATAGTAATTACATTGTATGTTGTCATGGTTTGACACAGTATACATGTATGTGTACCTGGTTTTAACTGCTTCATTGTGTCCTTTTTTGTGTGCTTTAGATCGTAAGACCTGTCATACTTATTGAGTCAGGGGACATATTTCAACCTCTAACTTGTATGGAAGGAGTAGGTTTCCTGCCCATCCTCACAGATTTTCTTTGGGTCCTCCGGTTTTCTCCCACTGCTATTCAAAGACCTCAACGTGCAAGCGAATTATTGAGATTAAATTGAACCATATGTTAATACCGAAATTTACTACCCAGTTTGTGTTTAGTGTATGTTAATGCCCATTTCTCTCTAACTCTTTACATAAACAACTGAAATATCTGATATAAACCATTACTCTTTATTTAGACCTACTGATTACATTCTATGTTATGTACATGTCATCTTCAATTGAAGGCTTGATCTTGATTTTTTAACTCCATACATCTTATCAAGCTCTTCATGTAATTTCCTGCATATATTGGCACCAAATTCGATTGGCTACTGACCCAGCTGGGGAGCCTATCAGATTCCTCGATCATTGTGAGTACCAATTCTAGCTCTTTCCAGCTAAAATGTCTACCTGTAATAATCGAGTTGCAATATTCAAGGATTGTTCAATGTCAAGGTTTCCGTGGAGGTCGGCATGTTTGATTTAAGTGTGTTTGTGTCACAACCTTTGATTGGACCCTATCGTTCACATGTCTGTGTTAAAGGGAGATAAGCTAGGTTTTAGTTCGAATTGCAGACCACTCTAGCAACATCTAAATGTTAGGGTAAGCAGAGATAATCAATTTGATTGGTTGATGTTTTGGGACACTTTTGTTCTAATTAAACATACATTATGCAAGAGCTAAATCTGCCTATTGCAGGTTTTTCTTTAGGCCTGAAATGTTTTCTAAATTATGGATTAGACATAAATTATCTTTTCCAGGCCATAATCAACTCTTGATGGCATCGGATTACTCCGATATTAAATAGATTAGAACAGTTCAGCCATATTTTGATTTAAGCTATAAATGGAGGAGCGAGACTTAGCTTCGAACAACCAGTATGGTGGTTGAAATTATTGCACACGTCTTGTCAAACATTCGAAGGCTAATATCTTCACTGGCAATAGAATCTTTGAATGAAATTTTCAAATTATTCATTTTTACATTATCTATTTAGAATTATAATAGCAAGAATGGCTAGCTCTTTATCTAAATCTTACATGATGTATCTTTAAGTGAGAGTGATGAAACTTGGTGTATAGTTTCATTACATCCATACCTTGACTAAGTTCGATAATTAGCATTTTCTACTAAGGCTAAGTAGAGATAAGCAGTTTGATTTGTCAAGATTTTGGAACACAGCAACTCTGGTTTTAATTGAGGTAGAATTTTTAAACTTGATGTATGTTCATTAGGTGAATAACTTTGATTCCAACTGATGTAGAGTGATGAAACTTAGTGTATAGTTTCACTACCAGGTACTTCAAAACCTTGACTGAGTTTGATCATGAACATTTTATGCTTACACTAAATATAAATAATCAGTTTGATTGCTCAATACTTTTGAAAAAGATAAATGTACAATTAATCACTATGTGTCATCTATTTATTTTGGGCTTTAGCCGGGGACATCAGCCTCACTGTTGGCTAGTTATTGTATTGTACCTACAATGTAGTACTGTACTAGTAGCAAATTTTATGAGGCAATGGAAGTGTCAAAAGGTTGCAAGTTTTTAGCCAAACACTTCTTATGATTTGGCTCGGTTACAAGAGGTAGGCCTACATGTAACTGATAATAATAAGTACAGAACAGAACTACTAAGCATAAAGAATAGAAAAACCTATAACAAATCCAAAGCATAAGTTTATGCTAATGATAATATTGTGTTGGGAGTTGGAGAAATGCATTTAAGCAGAGATTACACAAGAATAAAAGGTTAGACCTACTTCGAATAAAGTCGTATTAGTGACCACAACAGCGTTAAATGTCTTACTTCTTCTGATGACGTTATGGGAATAAAAGTAATAACAGGATACGTGAAAGACTCACAAACTGTCATGTCATTAGATTGGTGATCAAAAACTCCAAGAATTCTGCCTTTTTGGCTATTGCTTATACAAATGTCTCATTGACTCCCGTAACTTTAAAGGAACTAAATCTATGCGTTAGATTTAGATCATAAACGGTATTGAATTAGATTAATCTAATGACTGCATTATTTTGACCAAACTTCAGTGATGATACAAGCTCTATCCGATCAAAGTTTTGTTTCAAAAGATTAAATCGACTTTGGCTCGTTTAATTTTTGGCTTACTTTACTAGTAGAACACAATTTCTTTAAAATCCATCAAATAGGTCTAGTTTTTTTTATCTGGTAATGATGTCTGGGTATTTTATCTCAATATATTTTGTTTACTGTACAATGTTTTGTTTCAAATTATTAAATCTTATCGAAAGCAAATACATCTACAGATATACATGTACATGTATCAACTATATAGAGTATGGATCTCATGGGATTGGGGGCTTGAATAGTTTAACACATGCGCTTTAGATCATGAGGACTGTCATTGAGTCGTATGGCATGGGTTTGATTCTCAGCTTTTACCTCTACATGTACATAATAAGGAGTAGGATCGTTTGTCCAATCTCATGGGTTTTCTCCTGGTCCTCCTGTTTTGTCCCACTGCTTAAGACCCCTATGTGCAAATAAATTATTGAAATGAAATTGAAACATATGTTAGTCCCGAAATGACCTACATAGTTTGTGTCGAACGGATGTTGAACTCTATTTTTCTCTTTCTCTATCAACTATATCTCAACATGTGATCTACTGTATAATTAAATCCATGAACTGTACAAAACATGTGTAATTATAATAGCCATTTTGATTTTTAAAGACATGGGGAAGTCCCGACATTATAGCTGCAGGCAGAGTTTCTTCATTAACCATACATACAATAACTGTGTATATCAAAGCAAACAAGATTGTATTTAACAGATTAATGAGTAATATTTCCTTATGTTCACTACATGATATCTGTAGTAAGCCTATAAACATATATAATTATAAAGGGATAACAACTAACAGTGTCTGATCATGTCCTGCTACACAGTCTACAAGCACATTGTTCTCACGATTTGACTTTTAGCGAAATGGGAGCCATGGTGGCTCGGTGACTAAAACAAAAGCTAGCCTGTGTTTGATCCCTGTGTTGACCTAGAAAGTTTATCAGGTTCTTACAGCATGATTCCTCAATGTCAGGGGTGCAGGACGAAGTGTCTGGCAAGCGACAATGCATAGCATGCATTGGGGTGCAAATAACAGGGCCGTAGCACCGCTGTTCAGGCAAAATTTCCCTCCTAGTACACTGTATGACATATGCTCGTGTTCATTAGCCCAGTTGGAGCAGAACAGTAGGACGTTGAAACCCCATTTCATTTCATTATTCAGAATAAATGTTACATGTTATATAGTAGTTATGTAAGATTTAGAGAAGAGCTAGCCATTCTTGCTATAATACATGTACATGTAGTTCGAAAATAGATAATGTAAAATGTATATTTTGAAAATTTCATTCAAATTACTCTATTGAGAGCGAAGATATTAGCCTTTGAAGGTTTGACAAAACATGTGCAATAATTTCAAACTCTGTACTGGTTGTTCGAAGCTAAGTATCGCTCCTCCATTTTTAGTTTAAATCAAAATATAGCTGAACTAATATAATCTATGTAATATCGGAGAAATCTGATGCCATCGAGAGTTGATTGTGGCCTGGATAAGTTAATTAATAATTTAGATAAACACTTAAAGGAGCTAAATCGCTAATATTTGAGACCTAGAAATTGACACAAATGGGATGCAACGCATATAATAATGTAATATGAATGCATATAAACAGATTTACATTCAATCGTTTTCATTTTTGCTCAAATTTCAAATCAGTTATGTCTGTCGAAATACGCCAGAAGTCTCAATCAAATGGCAATCTCTAGCGTCTGGTTATTCCAGTCTACACCGATAATATTTATTGTACACGCTCTCCACATATGAATATGGCCTCACCATTTGACATGACTTGTGGAATATGTCTAGTCTAGCCTAGTTCTTCGGGTCCCTTGTTACAAATGGCGCTGAAACACATTATTGTATAACACGATTCGTGTACCAATGGTAAAATGTTTATTTTGTGTTAAATATTGGATATCAGAAGCACATCTTTTCCCTGTAAGGTCACAACATCAATGTTGATTTAAATTGACAAATAATTTGTGTTTTCAATGTCGAAGACTTTGGATGATACTGAGTTGGAGACTTAGCTACTTTGACCTACTGGAATAGAAAATACAATTGCTTAGGGACTGCTGACAAAAATCCTAATAACAAGATACATTGAACAGTTCATTTCTCATGGGACACAAGAGAAGCTCCAACAGTTAAAATAGTTAGGTTCCACTGTCCACTTTATGATATGTTATCTATTTTATGACAGCTTATCATTGATTAATACTGTTGTTCCTTTTTTGTTGGGTCATCAAAGTTCGAAATCTATTGCTTTTCTTTGACAAGGTCCTGATAACAATCCAGTTACATGTAATGGTGTTAAAGGAACCTTTTCCTTAAATTACCACTTAAATTAAACAGTTACAAGCCCAGAGCATGTGTGATGCCAAGGTAACAAATCGGGGATTAGAGGTTGATGTAACATAATGATAACTTGTTTAATTTATTGTGAGCACATTATGTTATGTTTGTAATTTTATTTTTCCTGGACATTTTAAATTTATACTTTTGGAAAAATATTACGGTTTGTGGGTCAAACAGATACCTAGTTATGCTTGAAGAACACATAGATTTTAAAATAAAAATGAGACTGTGAGTTTGAGTCGATATGATATTAAAATAAAACAGCAATGATGATGCATCACATGCTTATCAGCATGATCTTGAAGCTTTATGAAAGGACATTTTATTGAACTATTCCATTCACATTCATTATTTAGCAATACAATTTGTTATAGTTAAGCTGATGATTGATTTTGCAGTCTTACAACATGACATGCATACTAAACATACAGAAAACGGAAGATTTGTACTAGACAACATGACAGGCACCAGGGGAGGTGGGAATTATCAAACTTGAATTTTTGTCAGACACTTTGCTTTTGTTAAATTTAGATTGGGTTCTTTAAAGATTAAGGATACATTATGTAAGATTTTGATAAAGAGCTGACCATTCTTGCTATAATAGTACAAAAATAGATAATGTAAAATGAAAATATTGAAAATTTCATTCAAATTGCTTCATTCTGAGCCAAGTTATCACTGTTTGTAGTTTTTACAAGATGTCTGCATTGTGGTAACCAGGGCACTGGTAAATTCGAGACTTGACCTCGCTTTCCCATTTTTAAATTAATTTTCTAATGGGAACCGTTCTAATTGTTGATTGTGGTCTTGTTTTTAATAAATGTCTAATTAATAGTTTGTATAACATTTCGGGCCTAATGAAAGACTTGCAATAGGCAGATTTAGCTCTTGCATAATGTATGTTTAAATCTAAGCTTTTCTAATTTTTCCTTTCAGAAATGGAAGTAATGTTGAAGGTTCAACCCATAAGCAAGTAGTCGATTTAATAAGATCAGGGGGTGATACCCTTACACTTACAGGTTAGTGTCATTATAAGTTTCCATTACACTAACAGATAGGTTTCCAATATGCTAACAAATTAGTTTCCATTACACTACCAGATAGATTACAGGTTAGTGTCATATAAGTTTCCATTACACTAACAGATAGATTTCCAATGCACTAACAGATAAGTTTTAAATTAGTTTCCAATAGATTAACAAATTAGTTTCCAATACACCAACAGATAAGTTTCAAATACAGCAGCAAACCGATAAATCTCAAATACACTGATAAATTGTTACAGATAAGTTTCCAATACACTAACAAATAAGTTTCCAATACACCAACAGATAAATTTCCAATACACTAACAGATAAATTTCCATTACACTAACAAATTATTTTCCAATATACCAACAGATAAGTTTCAAATACACAGTACACTAACAGATGAGTTTCCAATACACCAACAGATGAATTACCAATACACCAACAGATAAGTTTCAAATACACCAACAAATTAGTTTTGAATATTCACCAACAAATTAGTTTCCAATACACCAAAAAATTAGTCTGAATATTCACTAACAGATAAGTTTGAATATTCACTAACAGATAAGTTTGAATATTCACTAACAGATAAGTTTCCATACAACTAACAGATAACTATCCAATACACTAACAAATTAGTTTCCACTAACAAATTAGTTTCCAATACACTAACAAATTAGTTTCCAATACACCAACAGATAAGTTTCCAATACACTAACAGATAAGTTTCCAATACACCAACAGATAAGTTTCCAATATACTTATAAATTAGTTTCCAATACACTAACAAATAAGTTTCAAATACAGTAACCAATAAATCTCAAATATGCTAACAGGTAATTTGTTTTACAGATAACTTTTAAATACACTGGACAAATTTTGATATTCATGCAGGACATGAAGATTTTTCATTAGCTGAAAGTTTGAGGAACTTGTTTCTAACTATTGATATTGTATAGTTGTTGTAGTTATTTCAGTACCAGATCAAGTAGCAGATAAATTAGAACCCAGTGATGACTCATCGGGACCATCATATATAGATTATTCTGAACGTAGATCATTACCTATATCAATACCTGATTACCAGTCAGTAGAGCATGAGGGCGAAAAATTTGTGGTAATTATAATAATTAGAACATTCATTTCAGCCTCGTCCTTGCTGTCTGTCGTTGGGTTGTCCACTCTTGCATGTCATTGCATTTGGGGTGTGCTGTCAAATAAATCCCAAACTAGGTGCCCTTTTTATTGCTGGGGGTGGGGTGTGTGTGTGTGTATCTAGTGATTTAATGCGTGTGTGTTAAATCATAAGGTCTGTCATTGTGTCAAGAAGCGTGATTTTGGTTCCCCGCTTGTACTTGACAAGCCAACCTCGTGGATTTTCTTAGGGTCCTCTGGTTTAGTCCCACTGCTAAAGACCCCTATGTGCAAGCGATTTATTGAAATAGAATTGAACCATGTTAGTCCAAAAATGACCTAGTTTGTGTCAAATACATGTTAAACCCCATGTCTCTCTCTTTCTCTTTTTATTACTCTCCGCGATCTTTCTTAATCACTCTCCCCAATTGTGCATTTTATTTCATGTTTACTTCTTATTTACTTTTCATTAATTAGCTGTGTACCAATGTTGATCCCGATCACACAATATTATAATCTGTAATCAATTTTCTATTTTTTACTTTGTCCTCCTTATGGGTTTTTAGACGTGAAGGCCTGCAGTTGCATGTTTATGAGATGAAGAAGTCTATTGATTTTCAACTATTTTGGATATGGCCCTTGATCACATAGAAATTCATACAGTGTTTAATGATCATGAGACAAAAAAGGATTTTGATTTTCAATGAATTGTGATATTTACTTTCAGAATTATTGCCCTTGATCTCATTGAACAATGTTGATTGATTTGATATTGATAATATGTACAGTGTTTATGCTTACTGGATGCCAATTAATTTTCAATGGTGTCCGATGACTACTTTCAGAGTTATTGGCTATGATCCAATTGAAAAATTGTGTGAAACCGCCAATCTCATTCAAATTTATACACAGTATTTATGCACTTGGGACAAAGAAACCTATAGATTTTCAAGAATTTCTGGTTTTAAGACACCCAATTGACACGTATTGATTTTGCCAATTATCTATGTCTGTCTGGGTAATAAGGCATTTGAAAAGATTTTATGGAATCGACTGTATCAACTGCATTATGCAAATTACTGAACAGGTTTCATAAAAAAAATGCCTTTTTGTAGACCAAGATACATGTATATGACTGTACATGTACATGTATCTAAATATTAAGATATTTAAGACCCAGTAGAGTGTGAAACATTCACATGACCGGTTGTGAGGTGGGGGGTATAACTTGACTTCACAAATTAAGGTGTAAAATATGTCCACTAGCTACATGTCAGATTTCGACACAATAATAAATGGTTTATAGATAAAGGGGTGTGAATGTATCCAAGCATATCACTGCTCAAAATTTTATTTATTTCTTCCTTGAGGCAAAACTTTGACCTTTTTATGTGAAGATGAACTATGGAATCTTTCATGTTCAAATAAAATTATTGTGAGGTGACATAAAGATAGAACAAAGACAAATAGATTTATTTTGTGATAGACAGATATTATATTGCATTCATTACTTTTTCTGATGTCTTGTCTATAAGTTAAAGAATTAAACTCCTGTCCAGTGAAAGGTCATAGTTCATTTTCTCTGGTGACTATACATGTATAATAGACCATTTTGATTTGTTACATGTATTAGCCATAGACTCTATAGCAGGGGCGGATCTAGGAATTTTGAAAAGGGGGGTGCCACAAAATGAGGGCACTGACCGCGGTGACGGGGCACGCCGCTGAGAGGGGATTTTGGGGGGGGGGCAAGAAAATTATCCGTCATTTCCTTGCATCTGTAGCCATTCCAAGAGCTATTTGGCTGAAACGTTCGGAAATCGTTGAAAAAGAGCCTTAAAATCGAGCAAAAAAGTCAGTTGGGTCTGCGAATATCACCCAAAGTATTGCAAAAGGTGACCGACATGGAAAGAAGTGTTATAAATATGCACATTCTACATTCTACACATCATATCTATATTTTTGATAATTTAAAAAAGAATGACAAAATTATGGATAAGTGAAATTGACTAAAATAGACTTGTTGTTGGTGATTAACAAGACCGATTTTGTCAATAGTTCAATTATCCATAATTTTGGCAATTTTTTATGAATCATTTAAATATTGGTGTATTTTGTGTAGAATGTGTACATCTATAAACATGTCGGTCAATTTTTACAATACTTTTGGATGCTATTGACAAAAGAAAAGCTCTTATCAGTTCTGGTTGGTGATCATTAGGATCGAGTCAAACCTATCTGTGGTCGTAAAGATTGATTAAATTGTCCTATAATACTCTTCACAGTTGACAGTTGTGCAGAATATTTCTGTCTAGCAGATCTGGGTTAATTGTTATCTGTTTCTAGAAATGAATTTAGGTACCTATCAGAACTACTGTATCAAAATGGCCAGAGGGCAAAAAATATTCATGTGAAGAACAAGGACAAGTGGCTTCAGCAAATCCAATTTCCTTCTCTCTGAGATTCCTCACAGCCATTTATGCTGTTTGCATTGACAGCTAAAGCGATACAGACTGTTGGTTTGAGAACTTTTGGTTTGCTTAAACCAATAGCTCTCCCAATAATTTCATAAGACCCACATATCAGGTCATGTACATGCATACTGCTAGTCTGCTATCATTCATTCCTGTCTACAATTCTTGGAAACACATCTACAGAATCGTTGAGATTTGGTTTTCAAGCTTTCTGGAATAATTCAGCCTGTCATATAAGGATGAACTCTATTGAAATTCAGAGTCGAACATAAACTATTTGCAGCATTTTTCTGCTTTTTTTCAAACTTCTTTGTTTTTTCTGCAACGTAATATGATGAAACACTACTGCTTTGTATTTTATTGCCCCTCACACAAAAATCTTGATTATCTTCGTTAGCTTGGTTGCTAAAGAAAGTAGGCCATGGTAAACATGAGCAGGAAGTTCACAGTTGCACATTAATTTTTTTTTATAATCCAACATTTAATGTGGGTGTATTTAGATAACATCCCTGTCTGTCCATCGGTTGTTTGTCTGTCCCAACTCCCAATCCAGTCATACAGAAACATAGATATTTCAGCCCAGTCCTATTGAAATGTTTGAAAGCTGCTGGTTGGTGTATACACGTTACGCATGTACAGTATATTCACTATGTTATGAGTAATTAATAATCAAATGATTGTTAAGGTGCCTTTTAAATATGTTCATTCTGATCAAAATTTATTTAACTGAACAGGCATTACACCAATGTTTTTCTTTTTAGATATATAATATTTATATGGCTGGAAGACATTTGTGTTCTAGACGATACAGAGAATTTGACACATTACACAATAATATCAAAAGAGAATTTCCCGACTTTAATTTCCCTAAATTACCAGGTAAAAAACTCTTCCACCTGTCTGAGCAGCAGTTAGACCAAAGACGTCGAGGATTAGAGCAATATTTAGAGAAAGGTGAGTTGATCAAAATAACAGAACACAGTTTTTGTGTGAAACAATCACTAACTTTATACTAAAAGCTTGAAGTTTTTACAAATCAAGCACTATTGATCAAAATAGTTTGAAAATACTGTACTATATGTAAATACATTTGAAATTGTTGACATTATGTACATGAACTTTCCAACATATGTAAACATTAGAACATCTAATGTAGCCTGTGTACTACCCTGCTTCATGCACAACACCTGTTAATTTGTTATAGGTACATGTAATGGAAGTGATATTGGATTTGTATTTGAATGGCGAAAACTTTCATTTATTAGGCTTGACTATTATGTAATAAGTATTAGGACAAGTCTATTTGAGGCACTATAATCCAGATCATTTGCATATATCATAAGTCCAATGTTCTATTTTTAATATAATTAATCACATCTTAATGTTAGTCCAGTGATTCTCAACCAGATCTTCCTAAGTGTGGCACGAAATTTTGAACGGCACACCAAGAAAATGTGTAAAACCATGTGATTCCAAGTTCATAGGTGTTTTTCTTTAATTGGTTCTGGTCATTCTATGTCTCTATGACTAGTCTCTGCCTACGGTTGTATTCTGTCTGACTTACCATGTTTTTATTTTGCAAAATTCAAATATTTTTCATATACATGTATATTTGCCAGGTGTGCCGCTATTTTTTTTCGTGTGTTCCAAGGTGTGCCGTTAGCAAAAAAGGTTGGAAAATACTGTGTTAGACCATCATGCATAATGGGCTGGCATGTACAACTATTGTTACTATATTTATCTAATCTAAGAGAGATGATGGCAGTGCGAAATCATTGGATTGACTGATTTGAATAACTTATGGATCGAAATGTTTTTGTTTTTTTTACCTGTGATTATGTATTGTTTATGTTTAACTTTTATTCCGGCAAGTTGGGGTTTTAAGCAATTTAGATTTTAACTCAATGGTTGTCTGGTATATTTATTCCAATTATAAGTAAAGTATGATTCAATCTGATTAAAACACAGATCCTATTTCGTTTCGTTTTTTTTATAGTTCAAAATTTTGTTTTACTTGTCTTTACTACACTAGGATCTGAAAGAGTTGTTATATAACCCGCGTTCTGGATGTTGTGAGGGATTAGCCAATGGAACAGTCTGTTACGGAACTGTGGGTAATCCACTAGAAACATCAACGCTGATTGGTTAATCATATGTCTGACGTCATATGGTCAAAAGCCACTTATATGACCTCTGACGCGACCTCCCACTACCACTGGTCAGATCTTCATGTAGTAGAGGCCATTTAAAGTGTAAAAAATCGAAACGAAATATAGATCTGTATTTTAGTCAGATTGTATATTATTATGATATATTTCTAGTTTGTGCTGTTCGTGTTATTGGTGATAGTGATCTGGTACAAGAATTTTTATCCGCGGGAGAATCAGAAACTGTAAGTTGAATTTCATCAATGTTAATTTGAGCATTTACGCTTCATGTCGATTAAAAAATTCTACAGAACCATATCTTCCCAGTATTCTGTGCAACTTTTAGAAGTATTACCATTTTCCCTGTTCAAACGCTGTGCTGTTAGTAACGTCGCCAAGCTACCAAATGTTTTAATATGGCATCTGCAACCGGAAATTAAATTAAATGGGTTTAACGCCCTGCTTTTCTGTTCCGACTGGGCTGATGAAGACGGGCATACACCATCCCATCCACATGCTATGAGGTAAATTTTGCCCGAACAGCGGCGCTATGGCCTACTCTTATATCTAATTACAACTGTCACGCTGATCTATTTTGTATACATTGGACCTCATTTTTTTGTCCCAAAGAATGACTTTACGTGGTGCCTAGCCAGGCCCTCTGTCCTGCACAACTGACAAGGAGGAACCATGCCTGAAAATAACAATAAACTTTCTCGGCCAACGCTGGGATTGAACTGAAACTGTGGCTCCTGTCTGCAACCAAAAGAATGGCATTATTTAGTAAATTGTTCTAGTTTGTTTATTTTCTATGGTGAACTGTTAGTGGTTTTTCCGCTATTTCCAGTGACATCGTCATCACAAATGCAATCTTGAATAATGGAGGCGCTTAAAATTTAAAATCATAAGTGATTCTTGTATCTATCATCATTAAATAGAATTCAGTGGTATGTATTGTCAATAAGATTGTCAAATAAGTACCGGTAGTTGAATTAAATGCTATATCCAATATAATAATAATAACTTGTGTATAATTAGGTGTTGTATCCAGTATAATAATAATAACTTGTGTATAATTATAAGAGGGCTGTATACTATTATAATAATAATAACTTGTGTATATTTTCAGGATAATATAGGTAGTGATGTAGAATTAAAGGTTATGTTACCAGATAGAAACTTATGTGTGGTTACAATCCGTCGTAATGATAATGCTGATCAAGTTTTTGAGGTAATTATTGTTGAACAAAATAGTTGATTCAAGTTCAGATCATCTTAGAACAAGAATATATATTTATAATTGTCATTGTCATTCTTAAGATTTTTGCTTCTTATATTTTTGTGTCCTACTGTGCTCTGATGTTTTGTATTTGTGTCCTATGCTCTGATGTTAGGTATTTGTGTCCTGCTGTGCTCAGATGTTTATGTATTTGTGTCCTACTATGCTCAGATGTTATGTATTTGTGTCCTGCTCTGATATTATTTATCTGTGTCCTATTATATTCTGATATTATAGATTTGTGTCCTGGTATTATGTTCTGATATTATTTATTTTCTACCATTTTTTTTCTTCTTTCTAAAGGCTGTGGTAGTAAAATTAAACTTAACAGAAAAAGCTGCCCAATGTTTTTATTTATTTGAAACAGTCGAATACAATTTTGGTAAGAATTTTATATTGCTTTAAAAATTGTAGTCAATGTTCAAGGGTTTGATCTTGGACGATACTTTCAAACCTAGTCCAATCTGATTACAGCGCAGATCCTAATTCGTTTCTTTTTTCATAGTTCAAAATTTCGTTTTACTTGTCTTTATTACACTAGGATCTGGAAGAGTTATTATATTACCGGCATTCTGATTGAAGTGAGGGATTAGCCAATGAAACAGTCTGTTACAGTGAGTTCTTGGCATGCGATGCACAGAACTGTGAGTAAACCACTAGAAACGTCAATGCTGATTGATTAATCAATGTCTGACGTCATAGGGTCAAAAGCCGGTCATATGACCCCTGGCGCGACCTTCCAGTACAACCGGTCAGATCTTCATGTAGTGTAGGCCAACGAAATGATATATAGATCTGTATTTTAATCAGATTGAACCTATCAAATTTCAGAGGCTCACCAGTTATCAAGCAGCCTGATTGAAAATCGTGTATAAAATAGATAAAACTAAACCTAAAAGCCTATCAAAAATAGATGATTCTATGTTTTAGTTATTTAGATTTTGAAATCCATGTCTTGATTTTAAGTTAATATAAATAAAACTTTGATGTTATATGTATTTCAGATAGAAAACTTCAACCACATGAGTTACCTCACAATATTTATATACAGAATTATAGTACAGCTACAGCAACTTGTATAACTGTACAAAGATGGTTCTTCTCATTGACTAAAGAATTGGCACTAAATATTGATGAACGAGCTTTATCATATTTATACTGGCTGGTATGTTTCTTTTCATTTTATGTACAGAATTCTAAATGCCAGCAATTGAAATCACATCCTTGTAGAATTAGATCACATGGTCTGTCATTGAATCAAGTGGTGCGGTTTCAATACCCCGCTTTTATGTGACAAGGAGTAGGATCACCTGTGGCATCCGAGTTTCCTACACACAGCTAAAGACCCCTACGCACAAACGAATTATTGAAGTAAAATTCAACCGTATGTTAGTCCCAAAATGACCTATCCTCCATTTACTTGATTTGACAGTACTTTATAGTTTATTACTTGATATGTCCGTATGTTACTGTTGAGTGTATTTATTGTTCAGGTGTTAATCTTCTGGGTTTCTGTATGGTTTGGTTTTGAATTTATTATTTCAAGGTTTAATATGTTACGTTTTGAAGTTTTAACTTATGTACCAGTACATTTTTGTTATGAATGGTTTCGGTCAGCAAATTTCATTTGTAAGATAATTTAAGAGTTATTTCCCTTGTATGTGCATTTATTTGTACTACAGCTCCATGTATTCAGAAAAATAAAGTATTGCTGTCTAATATAATAGAGAAAGGGTTTAAGTCCACTTGACACAAACTAGGTTATTTTTGGACTAACATAGTTCAATTTTATTTCAATAAATCGTCTGCGTGTCGGCTTTTTTAGAAGTTGGAGGGAACTAAAGAACCTGTTTGATATATGATCTATCATGTTAACTGTCTCAGATAAATTAACCTTACATTATGCAAGAGCTAAATCTGTCTATTGCAGGTCTTTCTTTAGGCCTGAAATGTTATCTAAATTATTAATTAGACATTAATTAACTTATCCAGACCATAATCAACTCTCCATGTCATCGCTAGACTGCGATATTTACTGGATTAGGATCCAATCTACTGCTCTATGCTCATTCATGATTAAATCAAGAAATGGATAATCAAGACTATGTATTTTATCGTACCGGCTTTAATAATGGTGATTGAGACTAGGTCCAAAATTCAATCGCTAAATTCTAGGTTCAGAGTGGATCAATTTGACTGAAATTTTCAGCAAATCTCTTTACATTATCTAGTTATTAACTATTATAGTGAGAACTGCCTGCTGTTTATCGAATCTCCCATAATGTATCTTTAATATTAAATGCTCTTATATTATGTATTTGATGTCAATAATAACCGTATTTCAGACTGTTGATGATATCAGTAGAGGTCATGTCAAAACAGGAGATAAATTATACGAGTTAAAGGCATTAAAAGAATCATCAAAAGTGCAAGAGGTAAATTGTTTCTCCTTATTTAACTAAGGGAGGATTTAGTGTTAAATTACAAATTCTTCTTGCTTGATGATAAATTTACCCCTCTCCTCTACAAACTACCTGTGATAAAAAATAAGAATTCACAAAATCTTCTTGCATCATAATAAATTTACCCCTCCTCCTCTACAACCTAATAAAAAATAAGAATTCACAAAGTCTTCTTGCATCATGATAAATTTACCTCTCTCCTCTACAACCTAATAGAAAATAAGAAATACCAAATTCTTCTTGCTTGATGATAAATTTACCCCTCCTCCCCTACAGCTTACCAAAAACATAACAAATTATAATGTCTTCTTGTTTGATGATGAATTTATTGTATATATATCTGATATATTTCAGTACTTGAAGGTGGCAAGAAGGTTAGAAGGTTATGGTGAGGTTGTCTTTCCACACTGTGCGTGTGATTCAAGACGAGATGGTCATGTGATTGCTAGAATAGGTATAGAATGTTTTAAATTACAAGCTTGTCAAGAAAATGGAACAGCTGAGGTAAGAAAATTGGCTTACTTATTAAAGTATATTCCTTTGAATAAATGACCACTTCCTGCAATTCTGAAATGCAGAAAGGTACTGGAATTCATATTTAAATGTAAACTTTGTCAACTGTTACATATATTATTGTTTGAATGCATGTTGTCTGCTAGAGTGGGTATGCAAACTATTCATGTGTGTGTAAGGGGGCACGATCTCAAATCGGTAGCTAAGAGAGAGAGAGAGAAATAGGGTTTAACTTCCACTCAACAAAAACTAGGTCATTTCAGGATAACATATGGTTCAATTTTATTTCAATAATTCACTGGCGCGTAGTGGTCTTTAGCAGTGGGAGGAAATCGGAAGAGCCTGAAGAAAACCCACAGAGGACCTTCAAATGCAGAGAGAGAAATGGGGTTTAACGCCACTTGACAAAAACTAGGTTATTTTGGAACTAACATGGTTCAATTTTATTTCAATAATTTTCTTGTGTGAAGGGGGCTTTAACAGTGCTAGGACTCATTGACAGACCTTCTGATCCAACATGCACACATTAACCATTCGGGGACACACACACACATACACATACACACACACGTTGGACCTGATGTACTTGGGCATCATAGAAACATAACCATATGTTAGTCCAAAAATGACTGCCAGGTGTATGGTTTACTTACTCAGTCTGTATTTAAATATTCTGGGTTTTTTTCAGTCTCAAGTGATAGAATTTTCATGGAAAGATGTATTGTCATATGAAGTAGATGAAGAAGGAATGTCTTTTAACTTTGAATACCATCGACAAGGAAAAAAACCTAGAATAGTCAAAATTTTCACACAATATGTAAGTTCAGTCACACAGGTTTACAGACAGAGCTCAAGTTCACGGCCACAATAACTATTCTAAATACACTTGGTGCAGTAGATTGACCCGGTTACTGGGTTTAATGTTAGGGGTAGCGTTGGTGCCTTCTGATAAAATCATCTTTATTTCTTCCACTTTTAACTCACACCCCCTCCCCCATCTAAATGTAGTCACTATACCTGCCAATGTTTGTAACATGCTGCAGCATCCCTAACATCCATTACAATCTGGGAGCAACAGTAATTAAGGCAATGGCGGACTAAGCAGGAGGTCTTGGGTTTGGTCTCAGTGTTGCCTGCATTGTTCCTCAAAATTTTCAACATTTCAGTCTTGCAGGATGAAAAGCCTGGCAAGGAGAAGCGTCCAGTCAATTTAGATTGGGACGAGAAACCAAGGCCCTGTTGACATGCATGTTAAAGAACTCTTGGAATTCAAGGAAGAGAAGGGGGAAACACCACTCCTAGCACATTGCATAGCCAATCTGCATAAGCCAATTGTTGGACAAACAACCCATTTCAGTTCATTTTCCGCTATAATCCGCCTCCAACTTGCCTGGTCTCTATTTAATTAGTTCAGCTTTATTGACAGACGTTTGATCAGGGTTTTTTGTTTGATTTTCTATTTCAGTTTTATTATATGAATGATTGTTTTAATAAAGTTTATGAAGAACTAGAAGAAAAATAATGGTATGTTTATTTTCTGGATATTTTTGGCAATATCAGTCTGCTGAAACATAATTGTAGAAAATCCATCATCCATTCTGCTTAAATTCATATGCATTGTATGGAGTAGTGAAACAAGGTTTCTGATAATTACATATAGAGTTATTGCCCTTAATTATGTTGTCAAAGTGCCAATGATACTTTTTATTTACCGATACCTAAAGATTTTAAATGTGACAAGATTTGTTGACCTCTTAGAAGAATTAGCTGCTGTTGGCATATTTTTCATTGCTTGGCAACCTATCTGTTCTCAGGGTATACTCACATGACCTAATCCGAATGTCCCCAACACAATCAATGAAATTATACACAGGTTCAAAGTACTTTTAGAAGAGTGTGCTTTTAAGGATCGGAGGGGGGGGTAGTGGGGAATGGCCAAATGGTTATCATGTACGCGCTGTACCATAAGGTCTGTCATTGAGTCAACTGCCGTGGTTTTGATTCCCCGGTTGTACGTGATAAGGTGTAGGGTCGTCTGTCCAACCTCGTGGGTTTTCTCCGGGTCCTCCGTTTTCCTCACACTGTAAAGAAAAGACCCCTACGCGCGAGCGAATTATTGAAATAAAATTGAACCATGTATTAGTCCCAAAATGACCTAGTTTGTGTCGAGTGGGTGTTAAATCCCATTTCTTTCTCTCTCTGAAGGTCCTCCATGATCAATAACACCGGTCTCTACCTTTATTTACTCACCTGTTCCTAATACTTTCTCCTTGTAACTTTCAGCTCAAGTTGACTAACTGATGTCAAATACAGCTTTTATTATTGAGATGTAGATTGTGACACCACCAACTGTTGATTCAGTTTATATTGTATAAAACAACAAGGAACTAGTTTCTTTTCAAATAGTGCTTCAAGTACTTACTGTACATATAAAGGACACATTGTGCTGTATTATATTTACATACAGTTGATAGCAGTTTGTTTTTCTTTCTTATAAAATACATTTGTGTGGTCGTTTCCATATATACACCTCTGTCACTCAACCTAATTCAATATTAATCTTAAATCTCTTTCTGTAACATAATTTTGATAAACATGGGTAAGAGCGAACACAACTGCAATGAAATGAACTAAATGGTTTAAATTTGGTAGAAAATGACCTCATTACTACTCACAGATTTTTATATTTGAGAAAGTTATCAGAATTATATTTTAAAATGGCAGAAGAGATTAAGATTATATATTAACTACATTGAGTCATAAACAAGATCAAAATAAATAGCCGTCAAATATTCTGGTTATTTTATTAGTGATGGTTTTATTTTTTATCAAAAGTTATATTTATGTTATTGTGTTTCTTGTTATAAGCATAGTTTGCAACTTATTATTAATGGTGCTTCAGTTTGGCATATTATCGTTTGACGATATAATTGAATCACATAAGACATCAAATTACTTATGGTTTAATCCACGATGAAATAAACTCAAATGGATTATTTAACTGTTTATTAATCTAGGTTGGATTCAGCCAGATTTAAAAGAGGTCTATCAATAGATTTTAGCTGAACTTATAGGTGACATTGTCATGTTTGTAGCGGTTAAACCTTAAATAAAACTGCCCAAAAATTATGTCAAAAGAGAAAACAACCTTTAAATAAAACTGCCCGAAAATTATGTCAAAACAGCCATAAAATATCAAAACGACCAATTATGATAAATATTTGTTATTCACCATAATGATATATGTACATAAATTTTGAGCTGATTAAAATGTATTTGTGTCCATTTTGGTTGATGGCTGTTATGACCATATCCCTTTTATTTTGACTGCAGAGGATGTCAAATATTGCACAAAATTTTGAACAAAATCGAATCATTTTTGGGCTGATATACATTTTAGAGATTCTAACTTCACAATTTATAGTAGAATTTTGTAGGAATATTACTGACATAAATTTAAATACCGTATGTCAATTAAATATGAAAAATGACGAGGTGCACCCACTTTTTTATTAGTATGAATTGGAATATTTTGTTGACCAGAATTTTAATTGTGGTCTGAAACCGCCTATTTAAATAACAATAAGAGTTATGCCCCTTTATTTTCGGTAAAAATGTAAAAAACAATTGAAATAGCAACATTGTACTAGATATAAGGAATTCAGAATCCCTCAAATGACGATAAGCAGCCGTTTGATCAACCCACAACAAGATATTTTTTGGCCATTGATAATATAGATGGGTGGAAATGTAATTTGATATAGAATACAAGAATGTACAGTAATGGATGTATACTGTCACATTACAATTGTGTTTGCGGTGGCAAAATCTCCTCCTGCTTTGAACAGTTCTATGTTAGTATCAAAATAATAAAAATATAGTGTTGATGTGAAGTGCTATCAAAATTCATGTTATATATTTTTAATTTCATCTCGGCTAATTAGGCTTTTTTTGGAACATCTATCACATATTTTTAATGTCATGAATTTGTCCGGCATCAAGTGTAAAATGAAATGGTGTTTAATGTCCTTCTGTTCTGCTCTGGCTGTGCTTATGAAGACAGTCATACACCATCTAGTGTGCTATGAGGTAAATTTTGCTCGGACAGCGACACAATGGAGTACTGTTATATTGAATTTCTACTGCCAAAGGTTCTTTTACGTGCATGCCAATGTGTACACATTGTCCCATCCGAACAACTTTACGTTGAAGTTTGCTAGGCCCTCTGTCCTACACCACTGACAAGGGGAAACCATGTTGGAAAATCCACATAAACTTTCTCAACCAACACCAGGATCAAAAACCGGACCTCCAGATTAGCGAATCTACATCCTACTCACTGAGCCACCACTTCTCCAACAGTAATATGAGTAACTGAATTACCAGTAATAATAAGTTGTAGATGTTTGTGTATTGTATATGTCCTGTATTAATAATGCAAGTAATAAAATTCCAACTTAATCAGGTTATTTGATAGATTTATGTCTACACCAATAATTAGACTTCCAAAACATATGTTATTGTGTGATATAATACATATTGCATTTATTAATTAGTTAGAATTACATCATATTATGCTTTAGATCTACTTGAATATTCAAGAAAATGAAGAAATTAAAGGACTGGTTCTACAAAAATTGTTTACAGTGGTGTAAACATATTCTGTTTAAGGAATAAAGCCAACAAAACATCACCATTATTTTCATTGCCATGAGTGATGTACTCATTTTTATAATAATATTCAGTGTCCCCCCAAAAAAAACTGCCATCACAAAACTAGCTTAGTCGACAAAAGACAGGTTTCTTTTTTAAATTTGTTTTTTCAAAATTAAGGTCTTTCCCCCATTACCTGGTGATATATAGTTTGTGAAACAAAAGATTAATGCAACCAAATCCAGGTGAACTTGAAATGCAGTATTGAAATGACCTGCGAAATGACTTTTTACAGAATTCATATGACTGGCGATCATGATCATTCTCTTATTTCTGTTGACCGATTGCATTTCATTTTCTGGCAGCATTTATTTTTTTGTTTTACAGTATTATGTGTTACGCAGGCAGAGCCTGGGAAATATTGGAAGGGGAGTAAGACCATATTCATTTTGAATTTATAATTGGTGTTAGAAACGAGTTGACACACAAATCTGATCTGCAATTTTTAAAGATTCAGTATTGTTATAAAAATCAAACAGATCTGGTCTTTGAAGTTGATAGTGCTGGGTATTGCCACTGCAATCATTATAGGATACATATTGCGATTCAGGTGCTACGATATGATTCGTATCACGATTCATAACCAGGTCAATATTTATCAAGAAAACAACAGGATAAATGTATAATTGATATTTTTAGTTCTGCCGATGTCGAAGAAATAAAACTGTTTTATATCAAGATATTGATATGGATCGAAATAAGGACCAAAACAATTTAAGAGTTTTTGTGTACCTATGGATAAAGTGTGACGTGGATAATTAAGAATGATAGGTTACTTACTGAAGCGAGAAAAAAAAAAGAATCATGATACATTGATTCTGTGTCTCTCGATTCAATACGCAAATCGTGAGAAACTGAATCGCGATACATTGTTTCAACAATATATCAGGCCAGCACTAGTAGTTGACGATAATATAGCATGCAAACTAATTTACTCTTACAATCCCCAATTCTGAAATTAGTTGGCGACCAAATAAGGTTTGGTTACAGTAAGTGACGTTCATGAAGGATAGGTGTCAACATAGGTCTAGCCTGTTCCCCAATCCAATTTCAAATGAAATAAATATTGTTTATCCCCAAAAAATGAAGGATACACATTGGGTATTACTTAAGAATATTGTTAGTACCAACGAATATCGAATATCGCAAGAAAAGCTTAAATAAGAATTTTGTTTTGCCCCAATATAGACATATTTTGAGGTTTTCCAAATCCTGCGTCAATCAGATTTTATGATTATAAACTAATACCATATTTGATATTAAAATAATTAAAATTTATATCTATCATCAGTGTTTGTATTGTCATATATATTCAAAGCAAAATAAAAGCATTTGATATGCATTAATATTTAAAGCATATTTTACATGCACAGATCCAATTAATATGGGTTTTATTACAAATTTTATTAAGGATCCATGTATATTTATTGACTATTTGTTAATTTACCATTGCAGGTCATTGATAGATATTATTTATTTAAAATACATATTTAAATAAACAATTGTTATCTTTGTGTTATAGCTAATCATTAAAATAGCATCAAGTCATATCTAGGAATTGTTGTTTGTTTATAGATCTAATCATCTTTTATTTTATTATCCCGCACCCAACGAAACTAGGAAGGGATATTGAAATGGGATCTGTTCGTCCGTGTGTCCTTTTGTCCCGATTTCGCTTCCGGAGCATATCTCATAAACCGTTCGAGATATCATTCTGAAACTTTGTACAGTAGTTGTGCCTTTTGCTATTTAGGAATTTCTTGCATTTACATTTTTTGTGTTTCCATGGAAACAAATTTGACTTTGTTTTTGGTGTATAATTTTGTTTCCAGAGCACATCTCATAACCATTCAAGATATCTTTTTGAAACTTTGTACACACATCAACCCATTACAGTAGTTGTGCCTTTTGCTTATTAGGAATTTCTGGGATTTATATTTTTTGTTTTTCCATGGAAACAAATTTGACTTAGTTTTTGGTGTACAATTTTGTTTCCGGAGCATATCTCATAAACCATTCAAGATATCTTCATAAAACTTTGTACAAACATTAATCTATTATAGTGGTTGTGCCTTTTGCTAATTTAGAATTTCTGGGATTTAATAATTTTTGTGTTTCCATGGAAACAAAGTTGACTTAGTTCTTGGTGTTCAATTTTGTTTCCGAAGCATTTCTCATAAACGTTCAAAATATCTATTTGAAAATTTTCACACACATCACCTTATTACAGTAGTTGTGCCTTTTGCTAATTAGAAATTTGTCGTATTTAATAATTTTTATGTTTCCATGGGAACAAAATTCTCTGTTGAATGATTTTTGAATTTTTACAACACATTTGAATTAGTTTTTGGTATATAATTATTATTCTAGAGCATATCTCGAAACTGTTCAAGATACCTTTATAACACTTTTACATTCATCAACCTATTTTTTTATTTTCTGATGACCCTCCAGTCCTTGCATCCCGATTTCATTTCCGGTGCATATTTCATTATTGGTTCAAGAAATCTTTTTGAAACTTTGTACATAAAACTATTATAGTATTTTATTTTCTGATGTATAAGCTCAATGTTTAACATACAGCAGCTGATTGAGGTAGACAAAGGTTGTTGTACAAACCTTACAGGGAGTAGCAACAGTGCCTTGCCAAGTTACTGTGTGATCAAAGTAGGAATCTTCTGACTTGTCCCACCGATATTCCAAGAAGTTGTTTTTCCTTATGCCTTCCAAACAAGTGCGAGGGCATGGGATGGTGATGACTTGTCATCTTGTTTATCAACCGAAGGAATAATCATACTATGCTAACTAGGGCAATGTATTCTTCAGAAAAAAATCAAGATGCCCTTAATTTGGATAATAAATGTAAAGTGTTCACAAAAAGTTGTGGGTGACAACAATATACAACCACATCTCCATGTGGGCGTTTAAAAAGGGTTAGCATTCCCAAGTTGAGGTTTTTAAATGCGCATATTGAAATGTGGTTGTATATGGCCAGAGTTATGGCCCTTGATCACTTATATATATTGTGGACACTCTAGAGGCTTAGGTTATTATCCGATTGACTTTAAATTCATACACATTGGTTAAGGTTTTGAGACAATCAATCCTTTTGATTTTTGAACAATTTCCGATAATTACTGCTAGATCACTTTGAAAAAAAAAATTATACACATTGGTTAAGGTCATGAAATGAAGAGGCCTATTGACTTTTCATGATTTCCAATAATTACTGCCAGAGTTATGGCCCTTGACCTCTTTGAAAAATCGTGTGGATGCTGTAGAGCCCAAATTTTCATCCCTTTGACTTTAAATTGATACATTATGTCATGAGACGAAGAAGCCGGTTGATTTTCAAAGTTTTAAAAAAATCTTCTGGACACTCTAGAGACCCTCTGACTTTAAATTTATACAGTTTTTAAGGTCATGAGACTGGCCGCAATTCTGAATTGATCATCTCAAAACATTTAATACTTATTCCTTATACCCGAAGGATAACATCTATTATCTTTGATGCATGTCCGACCCCCAGAGACAGAGCTACGCCCAATTTTTATATACATTTATCGCTTACAGGCCGCATTTCCTGATGGATCGTGTTGAAACTTTGCGTACTTATTCCTTATACCTTAAGGGTCATCCCTATTGTTATTGGTGCATCCCCAACCCCCAGGGGCAGAGCAACTCCCTTTTCTCTGTGTGTGTCGCCTACAGGCCGCAATTCTTAATGGATTATCTTGAAAACTCTTCATACATATTCCTTATACCCTAAGGATGCATGCCCAACCCACTCCAATTTGTGTGTCTGTGTAACCTACAGGGCGCAATTCTTAACAAATCTTCTTGAAACTTTGCATACCTATTCCTTATACACTAAGGATGATCCCTATTGTTTTTGATGAATGCATAGGGGCAGAGCCACACCCATTTTTTCTGTATTGCCTACAGGCCGCAATTTCTAATGGATCGTCTTGGAACCTGGAATATTCCTTATAGCCTGAGGACAGCAACTATTGATTATGGTGCAAGTCCTAACCGCAATTCTGAATAGATCATTTTGGAAATTGGCATATATATTCCTTATAGCCCAAGGACGCCAACTATTTTGGTGCACGTCCCAACTCCAGGGGCGTGGTGAGTGGTGACCCATGATTTTGTATGAGGAACAAGATCCCGTCCGGGCCCCCCCCCCCCAAAAAAACAATATTTATGTGTGTGCGGGGGATGGAGTGAGGTGGCAGTCCGCCTCAGTGCAACTGTGTAATATTGGGCTCTGTCGATTTGTAGCACATCTGACCCACGGTATATGTTTGACACTGGTTGAGCATTTTGATTATGATTATAATGTTGAAAACCGCAAGATTATTTGCCATATGCAAGGGGGTGCAAAAGCACAAAACCATGACGCAAAGCTCATCCAACCCCTAGCAACGGAACCATGCACAAGTTTTGTGTTTAGTGTCTGAAGGTCACAATTCGGAATGGATTATCTTGGAACTTGGTACACTTGTTAATAATATTTAGTTTGTAAATTTGGCAAACCAAACCCAACCTGGTCTAGCCTTCTTGGCCTCTTGTCATATTACAGTCTTGTTAAGTATACTATTACCCAAGCCACATACTTACCTGATTTGGTTTAAACCTATCAATCCTTTTAAGAGATCAAGTCAAATATGTAAAATAAATTAACAGACAGGGGTATGACATAAGCCCTTTGGGATAAAAATAAGCAAATCATAAAATCATTTTAGATTCCTTGTATATACTCCCACAACACAATAGTTAAGAAATATTAAATTATAATTTATTTGGTATGAATAAAACATTTTCTAATATCTCTACTATAAAAATACATGAAGCCTATATATAAGATGTATCAAATATGCAATAGCATGGTCACCATGATAGGGTGACCCACCTTAAATAAATATCTCCAAATATCTCGACAATTACACCACAATATTTATACACATACCAAGTCTTAAATCAGTTTCGCACATTATAGTCACTAAATAAACGGCCAGGTTGTACTTAATAAGCTATGACCATTTAACCATCCATAAATAATAGACTGAAAAATGGTTACGAGTGTCTGCCATAACATCCAGGCACTTTTGAGTAAAAAAATAGGTTACATGCCCTTGTTTTGAAATTAGTCTCGCTTAACCAGTGTCTGATTGACAGACCGGGATAATCAAGACTACTTCTTTACGAAACATAACAGAAAGCAGGAACAAGAAATTGAATTTAGAAACACGCACGTTAGGCAACTTAACAATTGTTTTAAGAACTTATAAAAGTAAAATGAATCTACTGCTAGTATCATGTTCTTGCCTAACGAAAGTGTTTCAGAGATATTATTTGTACTAAACCAAAAGATGCGGCTCCTAACGGTACTGTTAATGATAACGCAATTTAAAAAATATAACGAACGCAATTTCGCTGCTGTAATGACCAAAAAGCTAAATTCCACTGCTATTCAGAATCGTCAACAATAGATTTTTTACGGCTGTAATGGTTGACAGATGTGTAGAGAATTGCACGTGCGATGGCTATTTATAGTCTCATAGACAGTTTTATCATACTGCGTGGTTAAACAGAAATCACTTTGAGACAAGCCACTGAAGCTTGCACATTCGCTGTGTTGAGTCCAACTTTCTGTAGAGAAAATTTTCACTCTAGGGGTCACCCTAACCATGAACCCTCAAACAAGATATTACATCTGTTTTAAAGATTAAAACTAGGACAGACATGCTTACTTTGTAATACTCTATGTACATTTATATTTTCATATAAAATAACAAAATATAATATAACCATTAATTGAATTTATCAAAATTCAGGGATGCTTAAAATCTGTTTCAAATAATTTATTACCCAATAAATGCTTGACAGATTCTGTGACAAAGAAAATAATATCCTAAGTTATGATGTATTGGTACAATAATGAAAGATTGCATTTTTACTAATTGCTACTATTTACATGTATGAGGTCCTATTGACTTTCATATACAAAACCATAAAGTTTAAGATATCTGATTGAAACTTTTATGATATTGCTAGGCAATGAAACATAGGCCTAAAGCCAACATTGTATTTTTTGTATACATGTTGCTGGTCATATATATGATTATTAATACATACAATTAAAAATATAATGAAATTCAATATCCACCAAGCAAACAACAGCATGTATAACCTCCATAAAAACAAAGTTATTTGTTAAACAAAGAAGAAAAAGTTTGAGATTGACAATTTTCAAGCTTTTTTTTTTTAGATATTATCGAGAATTATTTAATAAATAACTAAAGAAACAGACTTTATTTGGTTTCATTTGCATTCATTTAAATTGGTTGAATACATTGCCGTAAAAACAAGAACAACCAAAATTTTGCAGTCTCGAAATAAACTCATTTCTCACTGTGATGAATCAATGCTCTTCATTTGAATACTAAAATCATGTTTTTATTTTTTGCATGTCAGAGCTAACATTGTGGTTTTTGTTTTGGCGTAAAGACAGTGGTCATAAATGTAACAAATGTTAACTTATAACCATAAAATATTTGTTCCTGTTTTCCTTTAACTGGTATACTAATAGCAATTTTAAAATTGTGCAAGTGTTACCTCATCAATCAATAGATTTTCTCAGATAACTCTGTGTACTGAAAATATGGAAAGCAAACAGCTATAAGCAACAATCAATAAGAAACATATCTTTGATAAATAGTTATTTGTAGATAAATACCAGAAACCTTACATGTACCACTTTTAAGAGAATGTGATTGTGAGCATCGAAGATTTCAAGTTATCGAATATAAATGAATAAATGCCTATAACATAGGACGTTGCTTATCATTTTCTTTTTTTTTTATTAAAGATTTAGATAAAGAGCTGACTGTTCTCGCTATAATATTTCAAAAATAGATACCGGTAATGCAAAATGAATATTGAAAATTTTATTCAAATTACTTTATTATGAGCAAAGTTATCAATGGTTTAATTTTGACAAGATGTGTGCATTGATCCTAACTACCGTACTAATCATTAGAGTCTTAGCCTCACTTCTCCATTTTTAAATTGAATCATTAAATGACCGCACCATTCTAACCCAATGGCATTGAGAGTTGATTATGGTCTGTCAGGTTAATAAATTATATAACATTTAAGGCCCAAGAAAAACTTGCAATAGGCAGATTTAGCGGTTACATAATGCCTGTTTAATTCAAAGCCACAATTAAAAAAAAAAAACACACCTTGAAATTTTATTTATATATTAAAGCCTTAAGCTAAAAATTGTCAAAATATATTACCACACCTACCTCTCTCAATGCTTAGATACATTGTAGTTTTTAATGAGTCATCACGAATAAATTGCCTGATAATTTTAACATGCATTCTTTTTTTTTTAAAATCAAGAGAAAAGTGCAAACAACTGATCACAAATAGCCATGAATAGTTAAAATAATATCAACAAGAAATAAACTTAGATAAATAACAGCAAATATAATAATTACATACATTAAATAAAAACATGTACAAGTTTAACAATTCACTTTTATAATCCTCCTTAAAATTTAATGTTGCATAATGACATACATGTATTGATGGTCATTTGAATCATTCAGTAGTCTTCAAGGGATCAAAGACAAAATAATATTAATAGGTTCTCCCTACCCAAATAAGGATATTTCCATATTAATATTAGAGGGAAGATTTGTTGTCTCTATGTATGATGTGAAACTCAGGTTTGAAAAGTGTAGGATTAGTTGTTTTAGCAGGTTCAAACAAATTTCACACTTGTGTAACATAATTGTGTGAGACCCTGGAATAAAAGTGCCTTTTTCTCAGCAACTATTAAACCAATTTATTTGTCAATATTCATTAGAAATTGAGTAAAATCAGAATAAAATGATCTTATTAACCTTTGTATATCTCCCTACAGAGTTAAATACCATTCTTTCTCTCTCAGTGTTACATGTTTAAAAAGACAATATAATACAATGTGGAAATTCAGAATAAAGCATGATGTTTGCTTGAAAGACATAATGACAATGTTTACGAAGATATAATTCATAAGCTTTATGTGAATAATAAAACTAACGTAATCAACTAATGGTAACATGATTTTAATACCTTAGAAACTCAAATATACAAAAATACTGTTATTTTTTAAATGATCTAAAACAAAAGTAAATGTATGTTACAGAAAATGAATTTATTTTAAAGCCGGAAATACATACCTGTCACAGACAGCATCAGACAGCAGGCTTCATCAGACATAATCCCATTTTTTTTGTTTTGTTATTGATATTTTAATATATGCCCGACAAAAGGCTAAAAATGTCTGATACTAGTTGATTTGTCATATATACATACAATCATTATTTCCAAGCCTACTGTTTGAAAATAGTTAACGACAATTAAGTACAAACTTACTACAAATGCTGTACATAAAGCTTTATATCTTATTAGCAAAATAAAATTTAAATAACAGATCGTTTTGTGTAACATGAGATAAATTGTATGATAAAGATTTAAATTTGATGTACTGTAATAAAAGAGAGAGGTATAATGGTCCCCAGTTGTTTATAATATATATATGTTATTATACTTATATACTCTTCTAATCTGAATCTTCATCATCCACATAACCTTCGGAATATCTATCCGATGTCAATCCAGCTGAAATGGGAAAAAAAGGACAGGTTTTGAACAACAGTGTTATTAATTTGTAAAAAAACAACCACACCCAGTCTTTGCCTCGAGTGAAAAAATGCTATATTATAGTCATCTGCAAACTTATTGATTTTGGAGAGGGGTGATAATAGGCTTTCTCCTGTTCCCCAATCCTTTCAGTTATCTAAATAAATATTGTTTATATAAAAAAAAACTTATTGATTGAATATTACAAACCACCACATTACTCAGAAACAACATTTTAAAAACTCTTAACCAGGGTGGGGGGGCTATATATATATGTATAAAAAATTGTAAAACAACACATTTCATGAGTGCTTTATCCTTTATCATTGTCATCAGATGGTGGGATGGGATGAGCATTCTAAGTGCGAGATAATGATACAGACATATGTGATATCACAACTAATGCCTTGTATCAATGAAATTGAATCGCAATGTGATCCTATTAATTCATAATAAAAATTTACATCAAACGGTGCATTGGATTTCTCTGATTAAAAAGCTCAGTGTGTATGCATGCCTACGCAATTTGGAGATGGGGATGACATCATGCATGGTCAATTGTCAAATTTCCTTAACAGGAACCTGGCAAACCCTCTCCTATAAAAATTCATGGACCCGCCCCCTGCTTAGTTATTAAGTTGGATAGTTACCAAAATAATGTTTGTTTACAGTGAGTGTCTGAGTGATGTTATAGAGATATAAACCAGTGGCTGCCAGGCAGGATACGCCCACATTTTCGAGAGATGGATAGAAAACAAGCTAAAACGAAAGTGATTTTTCCTACAATCAAGGGCCATAATTCAGGAAATTACAATTTGATATGCGCAAATATCGAAAGGAACCAAGATCTTTGACTTATAAACTTACATTTCAAGTTTCAACAAAATCGGATAAAAATTGTGACCTCTATAGGGTCCACAACCTTGATATACCATATTTTTACGCAATTTGAGAACGAGGGGCGGCCATTTTTTCTGTCAGTTTTGAGCCGATTTTCACGAAATTCGAACTCAGTCGTCCTTAGGGTGTAACGGTGATATAATAATACGTTTTTTTAAATCGGATAAAAATTATGACCTCTATATGACTATAGGGTCCACAAGCTAAAAACGCGATTTTTCGTACAATCAGGGGCCATAATTCAGGAAGTTACGTTCCGATATGCGCGAATATCGAAAGGAACCAAGATCTTTTGGTTATAAGCATACATTTCAAGTTTAAACCAAATCGGATAAAAATTGTGACCTCTACAGTGTTCACAAGCTAAAAGCGTGATTTTTCGTACAATCAGGGGCCATAATTCAGGAAGTTACGGTCCGATATGCGCGATAAACCTATATTTCAAGTTTCATTGAAATCGGATAAAAATTGTGACCTGTAGACTGTTCACAAACAATTGTGAGTGGACGGACGGACGGACGGACGGATGGGGGCGTAGAACAATGGGCATCATTCACAAATATTTCAAGTACTGGAGCATAAACTGTTAGAATTTCTAGATTAATATGTATATTCAACAATTTGTAAAAACTGAAGCTGAAGGTTTCACGTATAATTTAACATGAGTATGATTTGACAATACATTTTCTAAGCAATATTTTCAGATATAATCAAATGCTATAAGATTTGGAGAGGAGGGGAATGGTCTGTCGTTGAGTCAAGTGGTGTACGTTCAAACACATGCTTGTACGTGACAAGAAGTAGGGTCACATGCCCAGCCATGGTGTGTTTTCTCAGCGTCCTCCCGATTCCTACCACTACTAAAGATCCTTACACGCAAGTGAATTATTGAAATAAATTTACAATTTTTTTTCATGAAATGATCTAATTTTGAGTTGAGTGGACGTTAAGCCTTATTTCTTTCTACCTATCAAATTTATTTCAGCTTGTTACTACCGTAAATAACAGATTCTTCCAGTTTTAAAAGACCAATGTTTTAGATTATTATTTAACATGAAAAGATAATAGTTATATTACCTGCTTCTTTTAATAAGGCAGCTGTTTGTGGATCTTTCGTTAATTCTACTGGAAGTTTACCATCATTATTCCTTATATTTGGGTTTGCACCTGCAAATATCATTTAATATATTTTATAGGCAACTTTGTAAAACATTACAAGCAACGCGTGCTTGGGCTAGCTTGGTAACCATAATTGAACACAAAAGTCATTCAACACACGTTTTGTTTTTCACGCGAGACACCTAAGCCCCAGAGTAAAAAAGCCATCGCTAAGAATTGTCAGCCACTTATGAGAGCAAATAGTTCCTCATGACGTAACATATTGTGGAATATTGAAATTGTACAAATCTCATAGTGACCCAGAGTCAAAACCAAGAGCAAAACTGTTACTCTTTCAAAGGGAAATAACTACATTTTACTCAATATTAATGTCCTGGGCCATGTTTATCGAAATCCAAATTTTAGTAGATACTTCAAATTTGATTAGCTAAGTACTAAAATCAATCTAATATTATCCAATCAAATTACTAAAATTTGGATTTTATCTTAGTTAAAATTTCGTGAAACAGGTCTCTGGTCATAAGCGACAAAGATAAGTCGATCGGTGACGGTTCTAACAAAGTTGATTGATTTTCGAGACATTAGTTTTGATATGGAATGCCATTATTTTATTGTCAAATCAATGAAATAAATTCTACCTGTATAAATAATGATATTACAGCATAAACTCTAATTCGTTATTCATATATACTAATTATGAAAGTTTTCAAAACAAATTATCAGTAAAAATAATTTGGTGATAATATTGATTATTGATCGGCGAATGGTCCACGATTATTGATATTTAAAAGCAGTATTGATTGACATCCATACCTGGCTCCCCACAACAGACAAGAAATTAAAATAAAATCAAAAGCGACCTTTTAAATTCCTTCACACTATTTTCAAATTCAGTGCGAGATTTACAAAATGGGGCCCCTGTCATAAGTCTTTTTTATACGCAATGTAGTCTTAAATATCCATCATCATCCTTGTCTTTACTCAATTGTATTTAAAATACACTTTCATCTTCCTCTAGTCGTGAGGGTGGAGTGATTGGGTTGGGCCTCATATGCGGAATTAGCCTAGGAACTCTCTTCATCTAAAGCTGTTAGTGTTTGTGTGCATGCAGACACCTAGTCAATTCAAAAGGAATGACGTAAAAGATGTGCCAACTAGGGTGCACCACAGAGATAAATTTCTGACGAGGGTGCACCACAGAGATCAATTGCCGACCAGGGTACACCACAGAGATCAATAGCCGATCAGGGTGGACAAGGAAATCTATTGTCTCGAATAATGCTGCAGTAGCCTGCTACTAAATTGCGTCCTTGAAGGTATGTGGAAGATTTCCAAAATATATATAGATAGCATCTTACCAAAACTAAGTAACATCCGTACTGCCTCGGCATGATTTTTCCAAGCTGCTGAATGAAGTGGTGTATCACCTAACTTGTTCTAAAAACAATAAACATGCCATTAAGGTATTTATAAAATAAAACAATGATCTATGCATGAGATGAAATTATTTTCACTATTTTTCACAACTGAACATTTTTTAATCAATCAAATTTTAAATTGCAATATATTAATACATTATAATCTAAATTACAATACATTTAATACATTATAATCTAAATTACAATACATTTAATACATTATAATCTAAATTACAATAATATCAATACATTATAATATAAATTACAATGTATTAATACAATATATCCTAAATTATAATAAATTAATACATTATAGTATAAATTACAATATCTTAATACTGGTACCAATTTTTTGGTATATGTTTATTAGATATATTATATCTTCACTATCATTTAGCAATTTCTATAAGACTCGTGAGGTTTTCCAAGAGACCACACACTTTACTAGCAGACATAACTTGACATGTTATAAAAAATCATGAACTTAGTCTTGAGACTTAGTGGAACAGTAATAATAATGTATACAAGTTATGTACCTTAACATCAACTTCACAATTACCAACATCGAGTAAAGATTTTAAACATTCCATATGTCCACCATGTGATGCCCAATGTAAAGGTGTTGATCCTGCTTTATCTAATCCATTCACAGACACCTAAAAGTAATTGAAAATTATATAATAACTTGGTATTTTTAATACCAATAACAGTTATAAGATACCGGTACTAAATTCATAACTTTTGATTGGAAAACGTGTGCCTATTCATGCTACAGTTTTCATTTACCATTATTAGAATAGACTCCTTATTGTGAATTTTAGGGTATATTGTTTAAAAACATAAAATAGACCATGCCAATAACAATACAGTAGAATCTGTATAAGCAGCCACTCCTATTCAGCGACATCCCCTTGTAAGCGGTCACGATAAATTCCCCCCCGTAAAAATTATATTTTTTTTATCTCTTTAATCAACTGTAACTCCTCTAATGCGGCCAGCGGTCACTATTTGACTAATAAATTTAACAAAACATCAAGCATTCAACAGCCATTGTTGAATGATACCATCCTGTCATGATTAATAGTTAATAGAAAAGGTTTTGAAATACTTACTCTATTTGCTATACATTCACTCATAAAATCCATGTTACCTCTTTTAGCTGCTTCATGTAATGGATGATCTATTGATTCTGTATGTTCACTCACTGAAACAGTTGAGATAAATTATTATTAACAAAGGATTTGATTTAAAACTAACTAGGAAATTTCAGGACTAATATATGGTACAATTAATTCAATAATTAGCTTGCATGTATGGGTGTGCAATAAAACCACACCACAAGATAAGTACCATTTGGGGACCAGTTGCTGGTCCAAACATCATCTTTTCTGCGACAACTAAGGATAAATTCCGTGCTTGCGATTTTTATCCTCTTGGAAGTTAAAATGTTAGATAGTGTTCAATTGTTAATGATATTTGATCTCATAATAAAATCCATTTTAAATATTGCATATGAAATGTAAAAAGCACCATGAATAAGTCAAATGAACATGACCGAAAACATTACTAAGATTTCTACCCCTGCCAGTACCTACCATAGTTACTGGGTATGAGACCAGCTCTTTTACCACATTTAGCTTTCCACCAATTAGAATCTGACATATCGAGAATATATAATGTATCTCCTTCATCAAAAGATAATTCATCTGGCTGAGAAAAAAAAAAACCCACAGAAATATGAGATTTCAATTATTTCAATTTTTAATATTAAATCTGTTTAGTTGTTGATTTTTTTTTTATAAAAAGACACTAACATTATGATGCATTATTGGTTGGGTTTTCTAATATGAATATTATTGACATATGTGACTTGTGCTGGCAAAATGAGTTGGAATGCGTTAAGTCTAATAATGGGCTACAGAAAAAACAAGATCAAAATAGCAAGAAAATATTTTAGAAACCTTTATTTGGACATTTTGCAAGAGTACTGTATTCTTAAATCTTTCTTTTTTCTTAAAATTCTGACCAAAATTAGTTATTTTTCAACACACATAGTGGGACGACCGGTCAACCTCCTTACGTAATACTTGGAATCGTTGTGAAGCGCTGCGATGAATCTCTAATTTATAAATATGACCAAAGTATTGCCGATATTCTCAGTTTCAAATAGGCCTAGTTTCAACAAATAGAAACTCATTCTAAAACCTATACAATACGTAAACAAACTCCCAGACACCCTGCGTAGTGCATTGTGGTATCATGGTTCCGTCCAATGCTCACACTGTTAATTCGCAATCTGCAGTAAAAAATGAAAGTGGCGATAAAAATTTGATTTTGTCGATAATGTTTTGGGGTACTTCTGATTCTTTCTGAAAAGTGGTGGACAATTTTTTTTTAAAAATTCTAATTGTATGTATATAGGCCTGCAGTCAAGGTCTTCCCTACAAACAAATTATAATTTTTGGAAATCTTATAACACCAGGAACATAAATCCAGAGAGTTCCAAGCAAAATGTTTGCAATAACTCAATTTGAAAATTGTCAAGTAAATGTTATATTTTACTAACAATTGTGAAGTTGACATCAAATTAAATATTGGCGAAACCCTCTGACCCCTTCATCCTACGCAAAGAATAGCTATTGGTTTAATTTTGATTTAAACCAAAATGCAGAAAACATAATGGACAAGGGAACATAAAGAATTTTGGAAACCCTTTAACGGTAATAGAGAGTTATCTCCCTTTCTGTCAAATGTCTGCAATTGTTAACAGTATTTAAGGTGCGTGTTTGACTGCTGATGCTGTATGATGCACAAGACCATGTGTGAGCACACAAGCCCAAATATTTATATTGTCAATTCCGTTTGCTACGGCATGTAAAATATACAAGCATGAATAATAGGAAATCATTGTTTCAAATTCTATTATCACCATGGGTCCAAAATGTGAGAACAACAAATAGCAATGATTCTCAATTGAGAAAATGGTCCGCAATATGTTTCATTATACCACTGCCAAAATGCACCAAAGTGACTGTAAGCATCTCTTACAAGTCTTACAAATGAAGTTGAAAGTTTTATCATTCTATCAGGGGTTCTGAGTCTGATATCGTTACGGTACCTGAAAATAACAGTAGACCTATTGTGCACACAAAACCTTATTTTAATTCAGTTGTGTGATGAAGATAACAGAACAGAGTTGGTGCGTATTTTGTTCTATTTTTGGTAATGAAATGTTTATAATACACTGATTTTTTCAAAAAATTCTTCTCAGACCTCTCTATATACCTGTGTGGTACCACATTCCACAAGATTTTCGACTTGATAGTGTTTTGATCTGTAGTGTTTTTTACAAGAGTTCCACAAGATAATAGACATACACTGTAGAAAAAAAATCAGTTTCTGCAAAAAATTCTTATCAGACCTCCATTGGAAAAAATCAGCGCCCCCAATCAATGAGCGCCTTTTCCATATGAAACCAACGACCAATGTGCCCATTGCCCCATATCAGTAACCCAACAACCAACGTGCCCATTACCCCATATCAGTATGGACGCCCCATAAAGCCGAGTGACATTGGTGAGGTGCCTCATAATGAATCCCATGATTAACACCACAACGTGATTGATGGGGCGCCCAAAACGGCATGATCTGTGGGGTGTCTTACATTACAAGCAATTAACTAACCCAATAAATATGATTGTTGCTAAAATAAACAATTTATTGGCTTTTTTTAACAAGACAATTTGTATTATTGCACATAGTAATTTTGTGTAACAGTTTTAACAAGACAACAGATGTATGTGGATTCGTGTCATTGTATGATCTGTTCGATACCCTATTTAAAACAAATGGAAATAAAATAAAATTTGATTTAACATTCTGCGGTTCTGAAACCTACATGGGCTACTGAATACGGGCATACGCAATACAATGTGTTATGAGGGGTATCCCAGGCATCGGCACTACGGCCGCAAGGCTTCTTTTAAGTGCACGCCTTCATGCTGTTCGTCCCATCCTAACGACTAAACGTCGTTCCTTGTCAGTACCTCCTCCCTGCACACTTACCACAGCAGTCTTATACTATAGTTGGTAAAATAACCACAAGCATGGCATTTTTACTGGATATGATTTACTAATTTAAGGTGTTTTATTATAACTTCTGTTAATCTCACCAATTATTAAAATAATTGGTGAGATTAACAGAAGTTATAATATACAAAACCTAGCTATAGATTACTAATATATGGTGGACTAATCTCTTTTGTTCTAAACTATAACACCGAAAGAAACATTAAGCAAAAAAATAACAAAAATATGGCGTGGTTGCTATGTGATTTAGTTTTAGAACACACAGACATCTTTAACATGCTTTTTCTTAAAACTACCTTTTCAGATTTGGGCAACCTCAGTCAATTTTTGCCCTATTCATACCAACTACTGGTATACATCATTTTGAAGGTACCATAATGAAACTGAGAATGTCAAGATAACAATAACTCAATTTTCAAAATTAAAATTTCTTCATTGCGACTCAATTTTCCAGCACGGGTCACATATGTCAAAAAGAAGTTATATATTTCAATGATTTGTAGCTACCCCATAGCTAATTAAATTTATGCTTATTAAGCCTTTGAATAGAAAACATGCCAAAAAGGGAAATCTGCTGAGATATTTCAGTGCAAACATTTTTGACGTCAAGACATGTATGTACTGGTACTGCATTTGATTTATTATGAAAGACAGTGTGCTGGCTCTACTTAGAAATGAGTGTGTATTAATGCACACCACACATTATGATAGGAATGCCAAACTCTCTCTGTAAAACTTAAGTTTTTGAGGGCTTACTAGATAATTTGCACACAACCTCTCTGATATTATCTACAACAGGATTCAGCTAACTTGAGTAACATAGAAAAAAAATCACCACAAACCTGTTGTGCATCATATTTATATAGAGCTTGTACGACTTTTACTTGACCTGTAAAATAACAAGTAGATTTTCAGTACCGGTAATTAAATAATTAATCAGCTTTCAAGCCAAAATTGAGATCAACGGCCAATACTGAAATATCAACCTCTCTCCATTAGTCCATTTCAAATATTATGTGTGGATATAATCATAAACATTATGACATAGTTTAAGAAATCACTATGTTCACTAGTGTCGGTGTATGAAAGTCCGAAAAAACCCATGAAATAGAAATGCTGGCAATTTCCTAGAGTGAAAAATGATTTCTTTGCGTCTATAATCAGTCTCTAATTCCTTACGATTTTTTCTGCGGCTGTAAGTGGAAAAAGAAAGAAACGCTTGCCATGTGTTGTACTGCAATATTGATTACCATTATTGCTGTTTTGATAATTGCCTCATTTAAGAATTTTTAAGGGTCTGGCAAGGAAAAGTGTCTAGTTATTCAAATGGTACAAATAATATGAGGTCCATGTGTACATAAAGAACCCTGTGACGAAAAACCGAGGTCCAGTGTACACTACACGTTGGCCTGCATGTAAAAGAACCATTGTCAGTTGAAATTCGATGAATTTGCTCGGGTAAAATTTTGTTTTCGTAAAATTTCACGCTTACATATAAAACACTGAATGGGATATGCTGGGAAGTCATTCACAGGGCTCAGTGAGTATTGATAAGTCACTAACCTAGAGGTCAGGAGTTCGGTCCTAGTGTTTTGGAGGCGAAAGTTTCCAGGGATTTTCTACTGTCTAGCGTGGTTTCCTCTTGTCAGTGATGCAGTGCAGAGGGCCTGGCAAGAAACATCATCTATTCTTCAAATGGAACGAAAAACTGAGGACCTATTTCGGCATACATCGTTGGTGCGCCATAAAAGCAAAAGAACCTTTGACAGGTGGATTGGAATTCAATTGAAGAGCCCCGGGGAAGAATGATCCATGTCACTTTTTCAACGAACCCCAGTTAATGGCGTCATCTGGTAGCAAATCGTATAAGCTTTCTGTGGAACAATCAATTTCAGGTAAAAACAATTGGAGTCACATCGAACCAAGGCCCATCTGAAATGGCCTCCCGGACAAATATGTCCATCGGACCCTTTATTTGACCTTAATTTGGCTAAAAAGTGGAAGTCAGTTGTTGTACTGGTAATTATGATTCATATTAACCATCATTTTGAAGTTGTAATTAAACCCACTCGTTGTTCTGCTTGCATCAAGCATTTTCGCCCAAAAGTCTGTTTCGCCTTTTTAAATGCGAAAAGACAAATATACGTCCACATGAAAATGTGGGCGTATAAAAATGTGACTTATTGTCTGAACCATCGTAAATTTTAAATGGATTTCTTTGATTATGAACAAACTACTTAACTTTGGTAATTATAAACTTACCTGTGTGTTGGAAATCAACTCCCGTTAAATAAAATCCATTGCACAACTAATTATCTCAACAAATAAAAAAAATCTCTCTTGAAAAATTTTTGACATAGAAAAATACCAATATGGAAGCTGATTATGTCACTCTTCGGGAGATATCATTTCGTATAAAATAAGGGGTGACAGCATAGCAAACCGAAACAGTTTTCGGCACTTTTACGACAATTCAAGTTTGGTTTAAAGCGATAATTTCATATTTTTAAGTTATATTTTTAAAATGTATTAAAACAAAGCCTTAAAATAGATAGTATCTATAAACAGTCCTACCTTGTTAAAAAAAATAATCCTATTAATCCTATAATTCACTATTGCCAGTTGAAAAAATGGCAAAAATATCATTTTCAACTTCAAATTCAAACATTTGAAGACTTTACCTTTTGGAATATTTTTTTTTAATACTTATTTGATTAGCGACTCGGATGGGATAATTTTCTTTTGAACGCACATTTGGCACAAAAACAATTACATTCGTTTTACCGGCCATAAATATTTCCTATGATTATCTTTAATATGATATAATATATAATCTAATAAGCAACACGCTTGTAAATGTTATTGAAGCGGTTATTATTTGATCCCGACGTGGTTTCCCCTTGTCAGTGGTGCAGAACGGAGGGCCTGACAAGGACAGCTGTCTAGTCCTTCGGATGAGACGAAAAACCGAGGTCCCATGTATATATTGGAATGCATGTAAAAGATCCCCTGGCAGTTGGAATTCGATATAAGAGTAGGCGATAGTGCCGCTGCCCGGGCAAAATTTCCCTCATAGCACACTGTATGGGGTATGCCCGTCTTCATTAGCCCAGTAGGCTGAGTATAGGAGCAGAACAGTAGGACGTTAAACCCCATTTCATTTCATTTCATTTATTATTTGATTGAAAGAATGCTATCAAATTAACAATACACTCGGAGACTTCGGAGGTGAGTTTCATGAGCCGTGTTAAATTATTTATAACATATATTTTTAGTTTATATATGACTTTATTTTTACGAGTATTTTAATAATTTCCATTGGCATTTGGTCTACTACTGGTCTAGCCCCTAGGCCTATTCGTTTTTTAGGCTATATAATATGCACTTTTGTCTATCATCAGATTCTACAATTCAGATGTAGATCTATATAATAAGTCAGTCTTTCGACATCGACCATTTTTGACAAACAATTACCTGGTTTTGGGACCAAAGGCGGTGGCCTCGTAGGTCTTGGACGGTTAGCCATCTCTGCGTTAGTCAGAAAGTTGAAGAAACTTTTCTCCACTTTTTATTAACTTCCGGGTTAGACTCGATTAACCTATGGATTAACAAAGAACTTTTCTTTTACAACGACTCGATTTCACTGGATAATGCTGATGCAACGGAGCAGTTTTGGAGTACGGATAGTATAAGTCTTTGAAAGGCGGACTAAAATTGTTATTAGTCAAAATCGCAAAAAGCCCATTAAACTCTCTATTCGTGAGAGAAAAGCGAGATTTCAAGACGTATAGTTTAATTTTGTTCAAATTAGTTCTACACTAGTAAGTACACAACACAGTTTACACATTTAGAGAAATACACTAAAAAAGTAATTATGGATATGAAATTCACTGAACATAATAATGCAGGTATTGTCACTGGCATAAATAAATACTGTGTCCTTCACATCATAATTGTCCTTGTTTAATTTGTTTTTCTCGGTGAATTCATGTAGGAAAGTTCACCTTTACTGTTTAGTTCAGTTTGTTTATGATTTTTACACGAGGAAGTTTTCTAGAAAAGCACCGGAAGTTGTAATACTAAAAGGGAGATAAACTGTGGATAATTTGTGGATCAGGACCACAGCGATAATCAATAAGCTACAAGGCCTTAAAGAGAGTAAACACGAACATCGCCACCCCCCTGACAGAGTCAAACAAGTAGTTAAACTGAAATAGGACTATAAAGATTAATTAAGATTAAGGAATATTTGATATTCAAATGTTCTTTGAAGTATCAGAGAATTCGAGTCTTTAGATGTTTTCTTCTAACAAACAGATCTTTGCAGCGGGACGGATGTAAATTCCATGGGCTGTTCCGACTTTCACAGTTCGTATACGACCATCCTCTCCTGGGTAAACAGCGGTGATACGACCAAGTGGCCAACTACCACGAGGTTGGTTGTCTTCGACCATAAGAACCAAATCATTAACATGTAGGTTTGGTTTTTCCTTTGTCCATCGATGGCGTAAGGTAAGATTTGGTAGGTATTCCTTAAGGAAACGCTTTGATACATGGTTAGCAAGCACCTGTACTTGTTTCCAGCGTTTTCTGCTGTTGATTTCTTTGTCGTGTACAACAGCTGGTGAGAAGGTTGTTTCTGCTCTTCCGATCAAGAAATGATTTGGCGTGAGAGCTGTAAAGTCATTAGGATCGGAACTGTTATGCGTCAAAGGACGGCTATTCAGCACAGCTTCTACTTCGATAAGTGATGTTCGAAGTACAGACTCAGAAACATTGAGGTTACCAATAACTGCTTGGAGAGCTGTTTTGGTTGAGCGTACAAGTCTTTCCCAGGCACCTCCAAAATGTGGACTTAATGGAGGGTTGAAATGCCATTCGATCCCTATTGGTGCTAGAAAATTGGTGACTTGTTGTTTGTTCAATTCGTTTAAGGCTAACTTCAGTTCATTGTTCGCCCCGACAAAGTTTGTGCCATTGTCACTGTAAATATGTTTAGGGTGTCCACGGCGACCAATGAAATTACGTAGAACTAAGATGAAATCATCTGTTTCAAGGGAGTCTGTTTCAAGGGAGTCTGCAACTTCAAGATGAACTGCTCGGTAGGTCATACATGTAAAGATGCATCCCCAGCGTTTGACATTACTGCGACGAACTTTAACGAGCATCGGACCAAAATAATCAATACCAGTATGATGGAATGGACCAGTCATACAATCGATTCTGCAGCTGGGAAGATCAGCCATTCTTGGTACCATCGGTGAGCTGCGTCGACGCTTGCAGTAGCAACAGTTGTTGATTACAGTTTTGGTAGCACGTCGAGCAGATATAGGCCAATATTGCTGTCTCGTATGAGCTATTACGTGTTCTACTCCACCATGGGCAGTTTTGATATGAGCGTCATGGAGCAGTAGATTGGTGACCTTGTGTCCATGAGGTAAAATAAGCTGATGCTTTGTTTCGAGTGGTTCTTTCGATCTGGATAGTCTACCACCAACTCGTAGATGAGTTCCATCATAGAGAGGTGTTAATGGTAGTAAAGAACTATTGTGTGGAAGTTCTTGATGATCGTCAAGACATGCGATCTCTTTAGGAAATTCGTCTTCTTGAGCTTGTCGAATCCAACATCGTGAAGCATGTTCATATTCCTTTGGTAGTAGATTGTCGTTTCTTATGGGAATAAGATTCAATCGTTTGATGGGAACAAGAAAATTCCGGATAGCTCGAAGTAGCCATGCTGTTCTTCGAGTGAGTTTTATCCACGTTGAGAAATTTTTAGCTTCTAATATATTTCCAACTTGAACTATAGGAAGAGTGTCCTTTGGAAGATTATTCTCTTTGGTGGTTGTAAACATGACTGAAGATCCTTTGATCTCAGGATCATTAACTGGGATTTCACCATGTTGTGTTTGTTGACTTGGCCAAAACTCTTCACGACGATGAAGATAATCTGGTCCGTTGAACCAAGGATGGTCCAACCGTAGTTTCGATGCAGGTAACCCACGAGAACAGAAATCTGCAGGATTATCCTTTGAGGGTACAAAACGCCATTGGTAATTTTCAGTTGACTCCTGAATCTCTGCTATCCTATTTGAGACAAATGGTTTGAAACGCCTCGTATGGTTGTTGAGGTATTGAAGTACTGTTGAGGAATCAGTCCAGAATATGACCTTTGTAAGTGGTAAAAACAATACATCCTTCAGCAAACACCAAAGTCGCACTGCAAGAACTGCCGCTTGAAGTTCGAGTCTTGGAATTGATAATGCAGGCTTGATTGGTGCTACTCTAGTTTTAGATGCCAGGAATGAGCAGATTATGTCTCCGGACATATTTGAGTATCGTAAATATGCCACACTTCCGAAGGCCTTTTCTGAGGCATCTGCATATATGTGCATTTCAACCAAGCGGACGTCTGAAGAGAAGTTAAGATGGTGACGGTTTAACTTGAATGATGAAAGATCTTGCAGTTCACGTACCCACGAACTCCATTTGTCATCAATATCTGGAGGAAGTGGATCATCCCAGTCATTATTAGATCTCCAAATATCTTGTATGATGATTTTAGCTCTTAGTGTGAATGGGGAGAGATATCCACATGGGTCAAAGATTGAGCTAACGATGCTAACAATCCCTCTTTTGGTAGTGGGTGTAACCTTTGGTTGTGGATTAAAGATGAAGATGTCTTGTGACACATCCCATTTTAGGCCAAGGGCTCGTTGTAAGGGTATGTCATCTAAATCAAGATTAAGGGTAGTGATTGCTCGTTCCGATTCAGGAATGGAGTCGAGTACATCGGTCGAACTAGACATCCACTTGTGGAGGTGGAATCCGCCAAGTTTCAGTAGCTCAGTTACTTCCTGGTAGATGCGAATAGCTTCTTCGGTCGTTTCTACTGACTTTAGTAGGTCGTCTACATAGAAGTCTTGAAGAGTAGTGTCAATAGCTTGCTTACTAAATTTATGTTTATTATCAGTAGCAGTTCGTCTCATAGCATAATTCGCACAGGCTGGTGAATCGGCTGCTCCGAATATATGCACATTCATTTTGTAAGCATCAGGTGGACCAGGTTTTGATATATCAGTCTTCCACAGGAACCGAAGAGATTGGGCATCTTTGTCAGGAACTAATACTTGATAGAACATCGCCTCAACGTCACCAACGATGGCGACACTATATAACCGGAACCTTTGTAGAACTCCAAAGAGGTTGTTAAGGAGATCCGGTCCGGACATGAGGTTATCATTAAGTGATGTCCCGTTGTAAGTAGCAGATGCATCGAAGACTGGGCGTACTTTGCCTGGTTTATTTGGGTTGATGACACCGTGATGAGGTATATACCAAGTGAGAGGAGAGGTAATAGATACATCTTCATTGGTAAGCTTCTGTGCGTATCCATTTTCTACATAACTGTTTAAGGTCTTGCTGTACAAATTGTTTAGGTTATCATCACGAGCTAGACGCTTTGTTAATAACTGAAAACGTCTTTCTGCCATTGGGTAGTTGTTCGGAAGTTTAGTTTTAGGGTTTTTCCATAGCATGGGAACTTCATAATGACCGTTGACTATACGTGTATTCTGATCCATCAAAAGAGATGCCTTCCGATCTTCAGACGATAAAGCAATTTTATCATTGTGGGAAATACCAAAGGACTCTGTTCTCCAGAAGTGAGTCATCTGCTCGTCCAGACTGCAACTGCGAGTTATGAGGTTAACGTTCACTGTTGGATCTGTAGGATTATCCCCGGCCACCCCCATGAGAGACCATCCCAAGGTAGTGCGAATGGCTATGGGTTGATCAGTGTCCCCGGATCTAGATTCGAGTTGAAGATGAGCTTCTGGGATATTGGCTCCTATTAGTAGTTTTACTTCTTCTTGCATGACATTCAAAAGTCCAAGTCCGGTGAGATGTTTCCACTCCGGATTAATTATCTGTGGTGAGCATTTAAATATATCAGTTGAAACCATCCAGGCCTCATTTACCTTAATTAGACTACCAAGCGCATCATCAGCTGATTTGAGCGAGAATGATACCGTAGATGATTGTTGTGATGTTTCACCATTGATAGTCTGAATAGTTAGCAACTTGCGTTTGCCTTTAAGTCCTAATTCTTGACCCAGTTCCTCCCGTATGATCGTTATTTCGCTAGCTGTGTCTTGAAGGGCGTACGTTTTAACACATTGTCCATTTGGGCCGTATATTAGTACTCTGACTATTTGGAAACAGACTCGTGATGACTTTGACTGCATCTTATACATAATCTGTGATTTTGGCGTAGTATGATCACTAGATTTGTTTAAATGTAATGTAGTGTGATGCTTTTGTTGACAATTGGGCTCACGACATAAGATTTCAGAAAAACATGTATCCGGTTTGTGAGTTCCCTTTAAGCAGTTTTCACATAACTTATTATCTTCAACAAGTTTGCGTCTCTCTAGTACAGACTTATTGATGTAAACTGGACATCTGTATAGGTAATGTAACTCTGCACATAATACACATTTATTTCTGCTAGTAACATTGGTACTTGTAGCGTTTGGTGCTGACACACGGTTATCAGACGATGATAGACTTTGGCTTGTAGAATTTCGCTTACTCGTAGTACTAGTCGTAACTGGGGCAGG